ACCTAAAATAATATTAATAATGTCATTTACAAAAATAATCTAATAATTCAATTTTCTAAGTTACAAGAATTTTGAAAACCATTCCTACTGCAAAAGCAATGTCAAAGTCATTATAAATATTTTTCTAAGCATTCATTTATTATGAATGAATATTTGTAGCAAAAATATTTACTTATGATTGAGTTACTCTTTTATCTTATCCTCCTTAAGTAATTGCTATGTAGGATTTAAACACACTTAAAAAATCATCTGGTAATTAGAATTCTTATGATATGCTTCTGCAAGGGTTCATAATATTTTTAATAGAAAAACAAATTTTAATTAATTAATGAAAAAAGAATCATCTCAAGTTAAGAATCTGATTTTCTAATAATAAAACAAAGATATTTATCAACAAAATTTAATCTTTGTTTCTTTGGAGATTAACATTTTTTAATTTTCGATATCTAATACTATTCTTTTATATCCATCTTTGTGAGTTGATATTTTTTTAGATGCAAAATTTTAATTTGATCTTGATAATTAAGTATAATTGCATAGCTTCTTTGACAAAAAATAAATATAATCTCAGTTAGTGAAATATTAAAATCTCTATTAAAACCAATAACTCCATTCAAAGAATACTTTCATATTTATCATAATCAATTGATAATTTTTTCAGGATTTTAAGTAATTACAATTTGACATAGCTTTGGTACTTATTAACCATTATTATCTGAAGCTTCTTTGTCAATCCTGCAAAATGTGCATTAAATTTATTCTGGAGAAAATTCTTTAATATTTCTTTTATAAAAAAATTTCTCAAATCTGAAATTTTTTATTCTTTATTATTATTGAGATAAAAGTTCGATAAAAAAAATTATAAAAATTAGTCATCGATTTTCCTAAAATCAATATTAGACATCTATAATTCAAATTTATTTAAATTTATTATTCATAATTGCACTAGAAAATTCTACAAGGCACATAATTTGATACTTATGATATAATACCACTTTAAGTTTAAAAAATTTAATCAAAAATAAGGTAAGAATAATAATACAATTAAATTATCAGAGTATAAAATAATATTTTAGTTTTATCAATTTTAGTGATATTTCAAAAATACTTAATAGTCTTTATTAATAGAATGGATAATTGTAATAGATTGATTCATTAGATTTGTTGTATTTAATCAATTATCAATAACTTTAATCCAATCAAATAGTTTTTTGTGAATAGAGATAGAATTTTATAAAAATTTTTTATTTGTTTTTGATCAATAAACAAAGATGTTAACTCTTTGAGAATTTTCTACAATTACTAGATTAGAAGCACATTTTTAAATTTAAAAATAAATGAATTATAAAGAACTATCAACAATTACATTTTTATTATTATTTTTCCTCCTCTATTTTTTTATTAGGTCTTAACCATAAATTGATATTTTCTTATGGTTCATTAGAAGTTTCAGAAGAATTTTTTTTATCAGAATCTGAATTAGAAGAAGAATCCTATATATGAAGTGAGGAAATACTTTTTTTTATTTTCTTTTTAATTTTTTTTCTTCAACTTTCATGTCTCGTTTAATAATAAGCAATCTAGATAATTCTTCAAAAGCTTAAGATACTCCATGAGAGGATTTAGCACTGGTTTCATAGAATAACATAAGTTTTTCTTTTGCGTATTCTTAAGCTCTTTCAGTTGTGACAGATTTGTTAGGTAAATCGCATTTATTCCCTACAAGAAGAATGGTTGTATTTTTCCCTGCATGTTTATAAATTTCATCAATCCAAGATTTTTCAATTTCCGAAAATGATTATGTACATGTAGTATCATAAACAAGAACAATACTAGAGTTTAGAAAATATAATAATACGCATCAGCTCCTTTATAATAGGCATTTGTAATAGTTCTAAATCTTTCTTAACCAGCAGTATCCCATATTTATAATTTTAAGCCTTTGCCGTCAAGTCTAAAGGTTTTGAATCTATTTTAAAATTTGAATTAACTTAAAATCAACTCCTATGGTGGAGATATAATTTTCACTGAATGTATCATCAGTATATCTGAGAAGTAGAGAAGACTTGCCTACTCCACTATTACCAATAATAACAAGCTTAAACAAGTAATCATATTCCCTATTACTCATTAATTGTAATTAGAATTTAATAATAATAATAATGAGTAAATGTTTGAATGAAATGATATTATTATAGATATGCATTCATTTAAGCATTTTATTAATAGCCATATTTTTCTCGATGTCTTTCTTCATAACTTTAGCAACAGACATTTCGAAATCTTCTTATGTGACATGAATTCTTCTTTCTCTTAATGCAAACATACCAGCTTCAGTACAAACAGCTTTTGATTCAGCACCAGAAGCTCCTGGCATAACTTCAGCTATCTTTCTTAAATCAATTCCTCTCATTAAATTCATTTTTTTAGAATGTATTTTTAATATTTCTAATCTTGCATCAACTCCAGGATTAGGAAATTCTACTTTTCTATCGATTCTTCCTGGTCTCAACAAAGCAGCATCTAAAATATCTATTCTATTTGTAGCCATAATAATTTTAATAGTTTATGTAGATTCAAAACCATCTAACTATTAAATTATTATACATATTGATTACTTAATTTAATAATTCTAACATTGTTCTCTATACTTCAGAATCTCCTCCTCTTTCACCTTCTTATCTTGCTCCTCCTATAGAATCAACTTCATCAATAAAAATTAAACATGGTGAATGTTAACGTGCCATTACAAATAATTCTCTAACCATTCTAGCACCTTCTCCAATATATTTCTAAACTAATTCTGAACCACTAACTCTTATAAATGTACAATCCTATTAATTTTAGATATCTTTTATATACAGTATGATGTGCTATAGCTCTTGCTAATAATGTTTTTCCTGTCCCTGGGGGTCCATAAAGTAAAACACCTTTTGGTTGCGCTATTCCTAAACTTTCAAATATTTCTGGATGTTTTATAGGCAATTCTATAACCTCTTTCACCTCCTTTACTTATTAATCCAATCCACCAATCATATCATAAGTTGAATCTGGCACTTTTTCAACTTTCATTAATGATACTAAAGGATCCACTTTTGTTGGCAATATTTTATGTAAAACATAAGAATCACTCTTAAGTGCTACTCTTGTATTCGGCTTGCAATCTTCAATTTTTATATTCTTATCTAAAGTCACCACATACTTTCCTTCTGGATTTACTTTAACTAACACCTTATCTTTTCCCATTTGCTTTATAACATCCCCTACATATGAATGAGGCTCTTATAAGGCTTGTAATTCTTCTTTTACTTATCTCACTCGAAATTCAATATTCAATAGTACCTTAACTATTCAACTCATTTCTTTAAGCCTCTTAACGTTTAACATTAGCCTATTTTTCAGCTATCATGAACTCAAGTAAATCTAGTTTTCCTTGTATATATTGCTTATAGCTCAAGTTTTCATTCATTTTTATTCAAAAAATTAATGAGATTAGGATAATTTTGTGATGTATTTTTCACCTTTAACTCCAAAAGAATTTATAAATACATATTAGAAGACAAAGCTTTTTATAAAGAATAAAATCAAAAAAGATATAAATGTAGATTCAAAAAATTGTATTAGAATTAAATCTATGCATAAAAATCTTAGTTATTGAATCTTTTAGTTAAATAATTTTTTTTTGATAATCTTTTTGTTTTTCCATATATATGAAGATAAAAATGAACTTAAAATTTATATTGTCAGCAATTTTATAATATAATTTTTCTAATGAAGATTGTTAATCTGCTAAAGAGAAATTATCAAAATATTAAATGTAGTGCAAGAAGTTATAAGTAATATAATAATTTGAATTGATTAAAAATGGAAAAAAAGGAGTGATAAATTCATATTCAAATGTTAGGGATCATTAGCATTATAATAAAAAGCTTTTCTATCTTTAGTTATATTGAGACATATCTAATAAAGTTAATTAGCTAAAGAGAATCTTTGATTTATGGGTTAAATAGCAATAAAAAGGTAGAGTAATATTTTTGTCAATAATTGATATACTTTTTTTAAATTCACAAATGTAAATAGAATTTATTGATAATGCCATAAAGTTAATTGATGTAAAAAAGAGCTTAGAATAAAGGTTAGAAATTTTTTTAAAATGAAGTAGAATTTTGAATAAACTTTATTGATCCTTTTGCAACAAAAAATAATAGAATTCTGGCAATTTTCTGATAGGAATATTTATATTGTTGATAATGTTAAGGTAATGGAAATATAATTAAAGATATTTGTAAAAATGCCTCCAAAGAGAGCTTAATCAAAGGGTAAAAAGGTTACTGTTGTAGTTACAACAAAGGGAAAGAAAGATGCAAAGGCAGCTTAAAAAAATGCGTAATATGGATTTAATAAATTTTAGTAAGGTGGTAGGTAAACAAGTGACTTAAAGTGTATCAAGTTCAAGAAAAGGGGCAAATGCAAAATCAGTAAGTCCTGCACGAGTTTAGAGTTCTGTAAAAAAAGGTTAGTCTGTATCTAAAAAAAACACAGGAAATACAACAACAAAGAAATAGGTAGATGATAAGAAAAAGGTATAACAGAGATCTCCATCACCTCAACCAAAGAAAAAAGTGGAAAAAGAGAAGACAGAATTAAAAAAAGTAGCATTTCAAGGTTCAGCTCCTGTTGATGAATATATTGTAAATAAGGATAATTATGTTGTTCATGAATAAAATGGTAAGATTTATGATTGTACAATGAATCAAACAAATATAATGGGAGACAATAATAATAATAAGTTTTACATAGTTTAATTAGTAAAGAAGAAGAACGAAAGTAAGTGAAATCAAATATATTTAGATACATATTTTGTTTTCAATAGATGGGGAAGAGTAGGTTAAGTTGGATAATTAGCTTTTATTCCATTTTAAAGTAATTTAGAATAAGCAATAAGTGCTTATGAGAAAAAGATTCATGAAAAGAGTGTAAAAGGAGATTATCGTATTTTAGAGAAGGATTATTCAGGAGAGAGTGATCCAAAAGCATTAGATAAATTAGAGAAATTAAGAGAATAGAAGGAAAAGGAATCATTTAATAAAAGTAAATTACATTAAAGAGTAAAAGAATTGATAAGATTGATTTTTGATATGAAAATGATTAATAATCAAATGAGAGAGTAATATTTATAATTAAATAAAATAATAGGATTGGTTATGATGCAAAAAAGATGCCTTTGGGTAAATTAGCGGCATCAACAATAAAGAAAGGATTTGATGTATTAAAATAACTATCAGATGAATTAGATAAAAAGAATCCTAATTGTTTGGAACTACAAAAACTTACAAGTGAATTTTATAGTCAAATTCCACATGATTTTGGAATGACAAAAGCTCCATTAATTAATTCAAAAGATAAAGTAAAGGCTAAATTAGAAATGTTAGAAGCAATTCAGCATATTTAGGTAGCGACTAAAATTTTGGAGGATAGCAAAGATGATTCAAATATATTAGATGAAAATTATAAGAAACTTAATATAGATTTGAAATATTTAGATCATAATAATGAAAAGGTGAAATTGATAAAAAAGTTTATATAAAATACATAAGGATATTATAAATTAGAAGTTGAAGATGTATTTGAATTGACAAAAGAATAAGATGATAAGAGATTTAAAAAAGATTTAGGAAATAGAATGTTATTATGGCATGGATCACGTCTGACTAATTTTGTTGGTATTTTAGGTTAAGGTTTAAGAATTGCTCCCCCTGAAGCTCCAGCAACAGGATATAGATTTGGAAAAGTAATCGAATTAATAATAATTTAAGGGTGTCTATTTAGCTGATGTGATTGAGAAATCAGCAGATTATTGTTGTCCAGATCCATCAACAGGAACTGGATTAATTTTACTTTGTGATGTTGCGCTAGGAAATCCTAATATTAAATTATAATCAGATCATAATGCAAGTAATCTTCCTAAAGGAAAACATTGTACTTGGGGTAAAGCTAGAACTTATCCTCCTGAAAAATCTTATGTTGATATGCCTGGATTACCTGGAGTCAAAGTTCCTATTGGTAAACCTGAACCTTCTGATGTTGAAAAAACATCTGGATTATGGCATAATGAATATATTGTCTATGATGTTGCTTAAGTTAGACTTAAGTACTTGATTAAGATGAAGTGGAAAAATTGATTGGTTTATATTTTTTAATTTATATCACCATAATGTTTAATCAGAGAATTTAGCATTTTTGATAAATTAAATTTGAATTAATATAACATTTTATGCACAAGCGACAAGTTCAAATAGAAACATTAAAGTATTTGTAACATAATAATAGATAGTCCTCAAAAATGTCTAACTCAATCAAGATCACCAAAATAAAATGTAAAACCAATCCAACCTTAAATATTAAAGCAAATTACTCAGTTAATAAAGAACTCTAAAGATAGAAATACTGAAAGATTATTCAAATAACATGAGAAGCTTAATGTCATTCAAAATATTTAACCTTCAACTACTTCAAGGCCAATAGAGAGTCGTGATATATCTGTCACTTTTCATTAATTATTATAAGAGTTTAGAAATCACAAGAAGCAAAACAAAGAGAATTCATTCAATAGAATCAATAAACCATCCAAAAAAGTTAGATAGACCAGTTTTCCAAATGCAGTTCTTCTAAATAATTCCAGTAGTCAAAATCATATCAAAGATAATATGCATATATATAAAGGAGATTGCAATGATAAATTAACACAAAAAATATTATCAATTGCCTAAGCTTCACGTTCTTAAAATAATTATACATTATAATTTAATGGAGTAATTGAAAACATGTGTCGTTGTTCTTAAGAATAGAATAATTTATTGTATGAAGTTAAAGAATAATTAAAAAATAACGATTCTCATTATAGAAAAAGCTCTTAAAGATGTGCCTCAGCTGATATTTAATTAATAATAAGAAGTTCTTATAAAAAATCAAGATCATCTTCTATAGATAGAAAAGAATCTCGATATTTAGGTTCAACATAAACACACTCTAATCCTAAAGAATTAGATTTAACTTGTGATGAAAATGAAATTGTTGTAAACAATGTTAATCTTGATGAAAGAATCAGAACTGAGCCTGATCCTTTAGTAAATCAGGAAAGACAATATTTAGCTGATCCATATTATTTAACTAAATAAAATGAAATAACTTGGTTAATAAGAGCGATTGTGATTGATTGGATGATGGAAACTGCTATGGGTAATAGATTAAAAAGATAAACATTTCATTTATCATTATTTTATTTTGATTCCTATTTATCAAAAAAAAAAGCTAATAAATAAAATATTTAATTAATTGGATTAGCAAGTTTGTTAATAGCAAATAAAATAGAAGAAGTAAATCCAATTAGTCTACTTTAATTTTAAAAAGCTGCCAATAATGGTTATAAATAGAATGAAATTTTAAATATGGAATTAGATATACTATTTGTAATTTATTTTTTTGTTTTATATTCAGACACTCAAATGGCAAGTGAATCCTCCATCTTATACTTATTGGATTAATTGGTTTACAGATTAATGGGATATTTATGCAAGTGATCATTGTATCAATCTCTTTTTTCGAAAACCAAACGAAGAATCTTACTAATGTAATTAAATTTTAATAAAAAGTGTTTAGAAAGTTATGTTAACTTATTGATTGCACCTTATTAGATATTTAAACTCTTCAATATATGCCTAGAACTATAGTTGCCTCATTTATGTATTTAATCATTTCATTTTAACTTAATGTTTTTGAAATTGATATGCTCGAAATCATGTCCAGAACATCAATGTTTCTATTAAATCGTAATATTATTTAACTATAATTTTTAGGAGATAATTAATTTAACATTATATTTGGACAATTTGTAACTATTACTTTTGGCTTTGCTTTATAAGATATTTTACCTGCTATTCAATATGCAGTTGGTTTTTATGAATTAGAAATCAATTATGAAACACCTCCTGGAGTTGTTCATTTATCTAATACTCCTTTGGAAGTAATATTCATTTTTTATCTTAGTCAAACTATGAAGAATTTCTTTCATTTTAATGTTATTCAAAATACTCACTTTAATTCATCAGATAAAAAACAAGAGATTGATATATTTAATTAATTCATACACGTTTAATTATTTTAATAAAAATTATGAGTTAAGAAACTTTGAATGGAATTAATGGAATTTTGACAGATGTTCAAAGCTTTGGATAAGAAAGTTATAGATTCATTAGAAAATGTACAAAACCAGACAAAAGAGGTAAGCGATTGATTTAAATTTTAGAATATATAAAAATTGCAACATCATGTGCAATTGGATTTGCAGTTATGGGAGCAGTTGGATATTTCATAAAATTAGTATTCATTCCTATTAATAATATCATCCTCAGCGCAAATTGATTTATTTTGTTTATTTAACATAATAATAAAATAGGAATTATGTTTACATTTCTAAATATGATTCATTTAGACAATTATTTATAATTCTTTTTCTCATGGGTTCTTAATTCATGAGGTGACATGCCAATCTTTAATTTTAGATCTCGAAATGTTGAATCAATAAAATATTAATTGTATCTCTTTATATATTTGCTTTATTCTTTAGTAAGCTTTTATTCGCATCTAAAACAATAGAATAACAATTTTTAGGCTTCCTCAATGTTTCCCATAAATCCCAAACAGTTTAGATGATACCATTCTGAACAAATTTCACATTCTAAATTTTAATATTAATATTTACACATCATTTCTTCATTTTCAATTTCTTATTTGCAAATACAGTATTAAAAATTAATCGCTTCTTTTGGAATTTTAATTTTTAGTGAAATATTATTAATTAATCTATTTGTCTTTTAATATTTCTTATGATGTTTAAATATTTTAGGTCTTGAATATTTTGAGTTTCTCTTTCTATTTGTTAATTCTTAAACAATAGGAATCTATAATTAAGATATATTATTTGATAATTTCTTTTTCTTTCTCATCCTAATTGCTCTTTAATAAAGAACATATATTTATTCTGAAGAATATTTCTCATTTGCTAATTGTTGCCAAATTCTATCATTTTCTTCTAAATCATAGATAGATATTCTTTTTTAAGGATATTAAATTTCAATAACTTAGTTATTTTATAAAGTGATAATGAATTTTTCATCTCTTTCCATTATATTAGCAATTTATTAAAAAAGTTATTCATTTTCTTATTTAATATCAGCTTCTATTTCTTCTTGTTAAATTTTGATTTCAAATTTTTAAAATTCTAAATCATTATTTTTAGGTTTATGAGCTAGCCATGATTCTAATTTTTCATATTATTTAAAAAAACAATAAATTTCTTCTTTCCATAGATTATGTTAATCTTCAAAAATTCTTTTTATTTTAAGAGGTTAATGTTTAAAACAGAATATTTCATTAGATTCTATATAGATTTAAGATCTTCTGGCACATTCTGGATGAAATGAAATACCGCATTTTGATTTAGAGCATGAAATACATGCTCCATTTTTTTTTGTTTTACAAATACTACATAAAGTATTAAACTTTCTTTTATCAATTTTTAGTAAATCAAAATCTAACCAATACATACATGAGATATGAGCCCATATTTTTTCAGATTTAAGAGGTTCACCTATCATATTATCTAAAGAATATTGCAAAATCATGAAATTATATCCATCTTCTCCATCAGGAGGAGGTTCTAAATAAATCTTTACTATTAATATACTTTATCTATCAACTTTATTATTAATTGCATAGGTATGGTAATTAGGATTTGAAAATTCAAATATTGAATCTTTCATAGCCAAAGTTGTCTAACGCATTGCACCTCCTAATTTTGGACAAAGTGGACATTTCATTAATTTACCTTTATTTCCAAAATTCAAACATAAATCACAAATCCAATTATTTGTTACATTTTCAAGCCCATAACACTTTGAATGAACAATTATTTAACATTTTTAACATGTTAATAGAGACTCTAGTGATCTTACTCCTTGATTACAAATTTAACAATTGTTATAGACATTTTATAATTATCTTGTAGTTCCAGCTAAATTTGATTGTTTTGATTAATTAATTATGTATTCATCATATATTCTAAGATAATATTAATAAAACTTACTTTTATTGACTTTCAAGAAATGTTAGATATTGACTTTCTATTTCAGTCAATCCAACTAAATCTTTTAAGATAAAATCAGATTAATTTTATATATCTAGGATTGGTTTTTCAACTTCAATTGCATCAATCTGTTAATGTAATTCTTTTCTAGTTTCAAGTAAACGCACTTCCATTTTTGTTTGTAATGATTCCAAATCATTTTTGGGTGATAATTCTTTTAACCATCTATCTTAGATTAAAGTTTACTATGCTTCTCATTTCTAATATGAACCAATCATCGAAATATGTATAAGGACTATTCTGTTTTTCTTAATCTATTTGAAATTCTTCCTCTATTTTATTACATCTTACAATAAATTCATTTCATTACTTAATGTTTTTAGGATCTACATCTTTTTAAAAGTATTGAGAACAAATAATAAACCAAAAGGTTATTGGAGTAAAGTGTTTTATAGGAGTAATTTTAGAATATGGTTCCACCCAATTAATATCATTTAATCTTTAAACAATTTCAAACAATTATTTATAGGTTTTACCATTGTTATGTGGATTTTACAGCAAAGGTTTTTAATCTTATTCTATACCTATAGGGTCTAGAATGTATTGGCCTTCCTTTTAATTCTAGTTATTGGCTTCATCGAAGGAGGGATACAGATATTATTCCAAATTTTCAAAGCTGCTATCTAGAGACATTTTAAATTAAAAATAAATATCTTTATTTTATTTCATTTTATAATATATAATACTGCTATTTCTATAAGGCAGCAGTAGGCTTCTTTAAAAAGAATAGATTTTTTAAATTAAAATCAATCTTAAACAAGCTCAGCAGATTTAATTTTCAAAATTTCAGATCTTGTAAACTTTATGTTGTACTAAGATTTTATATGATTAAATTTAATACACATTATTTCCATAATCCTTTATGCTAGTAGATTTGAAAGAAGAAGTGTTGATATTTTTAAAATGATAGTTTTTATTGATTTTTTTGAGTAATAAGTAATTTAATTGAATACCAGAACTTTTCAAGTAATTTTACTAAATAACAGCAGCCAGACAATGATTAAATATTTTTAATATTGAATATCATTTTAGATTTGGAATAAATTTGCCAATCGAAATACTGTTATTCAGTTGTATCAATCAATAAACTAATATAGCTATGTGTTTACTAATATCATAAGTTTTATTTTGCTCATAGCTGATTTCAAGTCTTTAATCTTACAAATTATCTCTATAAGTAGAAAAAAAAATTAAATATATAAAAAGTATAATAAATTAAGACTGGATATCATAATATTATTTCATTCATCAGGAATACGTACAACCATGTCATCATCAGGTATTTTAATTTCTTTAAGTTGATCTTTCTCTTAATCATTTTTTGTATTAAGTTGGTCTTTCTCTTAATCATTTTGTGTGATAGCCTAAAATATTTATACTTTAGATTTAATTAGAATTTCATCTGGATGTGTTGAAGTGTACATTTTAGGATACAAATTCTCTTAGTTTTTTTTCATAGTAATAATTCCTTAATTATGCTTATCTCTGCACATAAGATATGTTAAATAGATATCAGTAAGGTTTGTTATAATACAAAGTATGAAATTTAAGAGTACATAATTATATACCTTAATTTCATATTAATTATAAAATTTTGTCATCTCTATTAATGTAAGTGAATCTGAACAATCTGCATTTATAAAAGCTTCAAGATTATTCAACATATACTTCTAATAACCCATATCTATGGCTAAAATAATTGTACATACTGTTTCACCAATCATTTTAATACCTAACCAAAATCCAAATAAATCTTTGTAATGGGAACCTTTTTGATTTATAGAGTTAAACTTAAAATTACATCCAATTAAGGATATGGCTGAAATCATTGGAATCAAAAATCCAAATACTCCTGCTTAGATTCCAACAATTACTTATGCTGCTAATTATATATCCATCAGATTATCATTTATATAAGAATTCAAATGATATATAAAGTCTAAATCATTAAATTTGCACAAATCAGATTTATTATATTGAAATTTGGTTAATTTCTGATAAAATAAATTCATATCTATTAAATATTATGGTAATTGTATACTTCTTTATTATATTTCTGTATTTTTAAATAACTTTGTATATTAATCTAAAACTTCATTTACTTTTAGCAAATCACTATACTAAATATTATTTTTCACTTTTTAAAATCGATCATCCTCAATATCACATTGATAATCAATAAGGTTATCTAGGTAATAAAATGTAAATATTTCAGTATTTTTATAACAAATAGAATCTAATTATTTAATATTAAGGATTTATATTACTATATCCAATTGTAAATTATGTAATAGGTAATTATTCTGATTCAACTCTTTAATAGTTATAATAGAGATCTGAATCTCCAATTTAAATCCCATTATTATCATTATTAATAACAAAATGGCTAATAGGGCACTATGATGTAATAGGGACATTCCATATATTTCCACACTTTTTATACATTTCTATATTTTCTTGAATTGAAAATGCTTGAATAGCTGTGAATGGACTCATTTTTGCACAGATTTTGAAACCTTTTTAATAATACGTCAAAAATTACCTTTAACAATTTTTTTTGAAATAAAAGGCAAATACTAAAAATTTCTGCTTTCCATCTATGCTATTGGGTGACAATTTTCTGCTAACATGAATTAACTACATTCCATATAGTAATAACTAGAATTAGGATTAAAATGATACTTATTATATTTGTAATTACCAGTTCCATTGGATTATGTACAATCGCAACCTTTTTCAGTTCCAGGCCATGTAAAATTTAAAACATTATGGAATCCATGATCACAATTTTATTTTATTTGAATATCTTCAATAAGGTAGTTATTCCAATTGGTATAAAATTAGGGTGCCTATTTTTTAATCGTATTTGAATTACTTCATCCATAAGTTTTGATTGATTGAATACAGATACCAAAATGAGTCCAAAGCTAATGAATGCATATATTATAACACAACATTGATATCCAGAAACCCAATATGTTTATTCATATGTATTGAGTTAAATCATATAAAATTAAAATAAAATGATACATTGTCGGGTAATTGCAAAAATTACAAATATTTCTTAGTTTGAAGATAAATTAATAATGATAATTTAGAAGTCTTTTAGTACTTATTAATTTTTAAAAATAGAAATGAATGTAGATTGTAAAAAAATAAATGAAAATTTAGATTTTTGTGAAACTTATTTAATCATAACAATAAGTATTAATAATTTATATTATACATATATATATTTATATGTTGAGATATTAGGAAACAGAAAGATTGTCTCAACTCTCTCAACCTACTAAAAGATCGAAAAAGTATACTTAAAATCAATCATTAATGATAATGTCAAGGTATTGTTAATTTTATACAAAGATTGTATGACAATCATTTTAATCATGAACTTCATCAAAACCCTTGGATTTCATTGGGCACTTTTAAATATGAGTAATGATGAATATCTGATTAAGTCTAGACGTATGATTAAGTATGAGCATTCAGACGCAGGTTTATCGTACACTAATGTGAAAATAAAGAAGTTACGAACATTTTAAGAACTGTGGGAAAAAAATGAGGAAATTCATAATAAAAGTGAACAACATTAAGGATTTAGAGAATTTAGAGAATTCAGAGATATTTCTGAGGAGGATGTAATTGTTACTATTGAATATTGGTATTCGAACATATTAAATGCAGTACAAATTGTCATGAACATACAGGATCAACCAAACATGATGAAACACGTTATTTAGCATATGCTTAATAACTAAAAAATGAAATATTGAAACGCTTTCCAATTGTTAAGGTCATTCTTAAGCCTCTACTTTATGATCATTTTGATCATAGTATTGACACTATGTTTCTTTAAAGAAGATTAGGTATATTGATTAAACTAAAATAAAGGTTGTTTTGAAGTTTAAGTGATGTCTAAATAGAAAGGATAATTGAAATAGGCAGTGGTTGGATCTAAATTAAATTCTAAAGCTTGGCCATAGATAAGTAGTATCATTAATAAATTGCCATAATATTTTAAGAAGGTCTCTTTCAATATAGATTTGAAATACTATGATTCAGATTAAAAGATAAAAAATACTGATGTTAGAATATAACCATATCGTCCTACTACATAATAAAGAACATAAAGTTTGATGTGTATTAAATATTATTAAGTTTAGTTACGTCAAGATCAAATAAAATTCTCAGACCATAGAGTAGTCAAACAAGACCAAAATCATCATATTCAAATATGTCAGGTCAATCTTAAAAAAGTATGAAGGAATAAGAAGAAACTGCTTATAAAATAGAAAGGACAAATTAAGAAGGTAGAATTGTATTAACAAATGTACCTTTGGATGTTTATGAAGTAATAATTGAAGAAACGAATGATTTTCTAAGAAAAACACATGTATTTTAAATTGACATCTCTATATAGATTATAAATTTATTCTAATTGACAAATGATGATCTACCTCTTAATTAAGTGATTGAATTATAGAAGTAAACACATTCATGTATAATTGTTTCTGTTAATTGTGAAATGATACCAATAACGGAATGCAGAGTTGAGATTGTCCCATTAAAAGGTGGAAAAGATGCAATCCTTAAAGAATCTCCAGCAGGAAGTGGAAAATATGAGATTGTAGTTGAACCAAATTAATTCTACATTTTTATTAAGAAAATTGGATTTCAAGTTTTTAAAAGTAAAATCATGACAAGTTCTGGAGTTTGTGAATTCACTTATTCTATATAAAGAGCTATTTAGACTGAGGAAGGTTATGATCCTGTACAAGATGCTTTAGATAAAAAGAGTTCTATTAGGCCTTCAAATGATTTAAGAATAAGAAAACCAAAATATTTGTAACCCCCATCAAGATAATAAAATGAAATTAATCTAATATAATTCTCATTTATAGATTTAGTAGATAAAATTCCAGTTTCTGATGTTTACATTAAAGTTGTGGATGAAATCAATAAAAAATTATATAGTTACCGTTCTAATGAAAATGGAATTTGTAAGGCATTAATACAAAAGAAAAGTAATTTATTTTAAAAGATTCCTTATAGTTACCAAAGGTAGAATCATTATCAAACATCCTTAATATTACGATATGAGTAAAGACATTAATGAATCTTAAACTTTAAGTTCACATCCTATGACTTATTACATTATTAAAAAACCATAATAATTTTCATTGATTGTGTTAATAGTTAACAAACCAAACGAAGAGTTTTTAAATTTCTACATTATTCAAGAAAGTAATTAAGTTAATTATTATAAATAGATAAATAAGTGATTTAAGAAGATTAGGATATTCAGTAAATTCAAAATAGAAATGATGGAATTTAATTGATTAAGTTTTTGAATTTATAAAATAAGAAAGACATATTGCAATTGGTAGCCTGTTTACCTAAATTAAAAATGGATTAAATTTAAGAAATGTATGTACTATCATCCGATAGAATTGAGAAATGCATTCTACCAAAATTACCAGAAGAATAAGGAACTTTGAATCCTTATTTCTGGATTTTAGGTTCCTTGAAAGAACCTTATGAAGCTTTTGATGTAGTGAATTAAATAGTATTTACTAATTAACTCAAAGCATATCCTAATTTAACTAAAAATTAATTAGAAACAGAAGTATGGTAATGTGCATTTTAATCACCTAATTTAATAATAGCTGCTAATTAGAAAAATGGTAGTGTTAGCATATGGAATTTAGATAATTATTTGATTGATAATACAATACCTAATGTTTTATCTGATGTTGCAAATTCTATAATTATTTGGGATGATGATAATGTAATGTTAAGTGATAATAATGGTTAAATAACATGGTTGAGAAAAAATGAAGACTCTCAATTTGCATTATTATCAAGTTTAAATGTAAATAAAAAGATCAACACAATGTGTAAAGTAGGTGCAGAAGGTTTAGTATTAGGTACTGTGGAAGGAAAATTAATATTATTGAAAGTTGATTTAAGATAACTTTAGATTGTAATAGATTCTGAGACTGATGTAGAATCAGTAACATAAACAATTGAATAAATTAATAAAATAGTCTCTATAACAAATGATTAGATAGCAGTTTTGAGTGATGGGAGCAAATCAATTTTTATTTATAAAGTAGAAAAATCTCTAGATAAACCTTTAAGTGCAACATAGATTAAATAAATATAAGTTAAAGGCTATTAAAGTGGGGGCAGACCAGTTTTATAGATTTTGTCTTTAGAATAAAGATATTTAGTTTTCGGAGGTACTGATGGAGTACTTCATACTTTGAGTATAGATTCACATGAAAGAGGACCTAATATCAGTTTAAAATCAGATTAATAAATTAATAGTATTCTATAAAATGAAGATGGTGTACTTATTGCATAAGGTGATTGTATTACATTTATACATTTACCTGAATCTGTTAATGATTTAAAAGTTACAAATCAAAGATTCTTTTAATCTCCTGTTAAATTATATTGTGGAGATTGTGTAACATATGAAAAACGATTATTAACATTTACTATTTAAGGTAAAATGGTAGTTTGGTCTTTATAAGATAAACAATTCCCTAATATATGTAATTTCTTGGTAGATTCTGAATTTCCATACAATTTAAAACCTGATCATCATTCTTATTTGTTAGTGGATGCAGCGATAGGAAAGGAAAACTTTAGTATTTATTTAATTAAAGAAAATGGGGAAATAATAAAGGACTCAAATTAGATAATAAAATTTGAAAGAAAAGAAAAATACTTCTATATAGAAATTGATTAATCTTAGTAATAAGGTTTATGGAGATTAGGAGCATATCTTTAGAATACAGAGTTGATAAGATAAAAATAACCAAAAATATATTTTATACAAGCACATGGATATTAAATGTTAAATTTTCCATAGTAAATACCAAGTAGTCGTAAATAAATATATCATTGGTTTATTGGAACATTAATACCGAAAATTGAAATGCTTAAAACTAGTGCTTTATACACAGATTCCTAAATTGTGGGTAAGTTTCCATCTTTGGAATTAATAAAACATGAAGGTAAAATTAATTAAATGATGTTTATAAATAAAGAAGAATTTATGACAGCAGGAGAAGATAAGTAAATTATAATATGGAATGCTTAAAAGTTTAATATAAATAAAGTATTATATCATGAAGCAGAAATATTAAGTGTACATGTACATAATGGAATGTTATTGGCAGGTAATAAAGAAGGAACAGTAATAGGATGGAAATAACATGATAATATTTGGTAGATGGATATAAAATTTAAGTATCATGAGAAAGGAGTTTATTCAATGATATATATAGATGGAAGCATAGTTACAGCATCTGAGGATAGAAAAATTCAATTAGTTAATTTTGTTTCTAGTGCTTTAGAACATGTAGAACCAGTTGATAGAACTTTTGTAAATTCTTTGGTTGCATATAGTAAAGATTCATTTGCTGCTGGTTTTCCTGATGGTAGAGTGAAAACATATAGAAGAGTATAATATTAATAAAATCAATAGGAAAAATCAGGTCCAAAGATTATACTTAAGACTTTAAGAACAATAGTCACAACTAAAGTTTAACATTTATATTAAATGAATAATACATAAATATTGGTTGGAGGAATAGATAAATTATGTGATATATTAAATGTTGAATAAGGAACAAAATTAAAGTAAGTCTTTTTTTTTATTGTATAGAACATTAAAAGATGGTCATACTGGATAAATATTATGTAGTCTCATATACTTTAAACATCTCATTACAGGTGGTTCTGATGGAAGATTAAGCATATGGAATTCGGATAAAGGAGTGTTGATTAAAACATTTGAATTAACCAAAGAAGAAATAAGAACACTTATGATAATTGAGAGATTGTTAATTACTACTAGTAATTATATATATAATTAATAGGCTCAAACGGAACCATAAGAATTTGGTAGGAAATATGTCCATTTATTGAATAGATTCCTCCTGACGAGGAACCAGAATAACAATAATGATTTATATTATTCAATAAAATAATTTATGAGACCATATACGAGTACTCCATAAATCTAACACAGGGAATAAGCACATGTATTTTGCACTTTTATTTTATTAGTCTGCTATTGAGTTTCGTCAAAATGTGCAACATTATAAGTATCTTTAATTTTCATCTTCTTAGACCCAAATTTTATGTAACCAAAGCTCATTAAGATTCTAATGAGTAATTCCTATCAAGGTATATCATTATATTCAAATTTAAGCAAAACTAGAGATCCTCCTAATTCTAGAGAATTTAAGAAAACCATTCCTATTACCATGGTTTAAGATAAGGAAAGATTATATGAAGAACTCAATAAAACTAAACTAATATGTAATACTCTTAAATTGGAGAATCATCAACTCAAAGCACAATTAAAAAGTAAAGAAACTGCCATCCTCAAATCTAGTGATGTACATCATCATTTTATTTAGCATGTTAATGAGGAGTAGTACTCATCATCTATTACAAATGCTATTCCACAATAATTTAAGAAACAAATTATTGAAGTCCCACAATCAACTATTATTTTGTAATTGAAAAAACAAAATAAAGATTTAAGAGAAGAACTAGATGATTTTAAAGAAGAAATGATTAGAGTCAAAAGAAGTGCTAAATTGACTAAAATCTAAGAATTAGAAGCTGAATTGAAAAATTACTCTGATGAATCATTACGTCTTAAATAGCTACTTCATCAATAAATACTAAAGACCATGAATCCGTAAATTATATCTTCAACTTTCTAGTACTAAAACAGAATAAAATATTGAAGAAAGAATCATTTCCTTACAGGAACAGTTGTAGAAATGCATTTCTTAAAGAAACAAATAATCTTCAGAACTTAAGAAAGCTTAAGAGGAAATTGATAAATTGAACTTTTTAAACCAAGAATTAGAGCAGAATTATTAAAAAAGTATCAAAGAGAAAACTTAAATTAAAAAATAATTGACTTCTTTAGAAGAATAATTTAATAAGGCTTAATTAAATGATCCATTATTTCGTAGAGGATAAGATGTTACATAAATGAAATTGGAATTAGAAAAAAAAGTTGTAGAAAATAATCAATTAAAAAATGATAATATGATAAAAGACAGAAAAGTTCATGAATTGGAAAGGTAACTCAAAGAAGTCACAAGTACATTTTAGGATAAACTGAATACAGTAACTAAGGAAAAAGAAAGCTTTAAAGAGAAATATGAGAAACAAAAGCAAGAACTTATTGAATTGCAAGATAAATATTAACAATTGTTTTTCAATAGTAATCGAAATTTACAGTCATAATAAATATAAAGTGGTAGAAGAGAAGCACTTTTTACTGTTTAATCTTAGGAGGATGTATAGAATTAAAGAAGAAAATCATAAGAACTGACACCTGATAGGTAGAAATAGAATGAGACATAATAATAATAATAACAACAGATTTAATAAGAGAAACAAAGTTATAGAAGAAAAGTTTAAAGGAAATTGAGTTCGATTAGATAAGATGATATTGAGGAATTATTAACTTAATTAAGATATAAGTTAAGGGCATAGAATATAAGAAATGCTGAATTAGAATTATATTTATTTCGATAGAAAGATACAAATGAGACATCTTTAGGAGAGTTGATATAGATTCTATAAAATAAACCATTTAATTTAAATTAAAATGAAAGTGTATTAATATCAAGATATTTAATTGAGCCTTATGGTGAGAAAGAGATAACTTATAATATAAATTTAACAAAAGATAATGAAAGTATAATGTAAACTTTGATAAGAGCAATAGGGAAATATAATATATTGGTTGGAGATGATAAAATATAGATGCATGAGTAAATAAGATAAAAGTTAAACGAAAAGAAAGATGATTTAATGGGTTATTTAAAACCAAAGAAATAGTAAGGTAATTCATAATAATCAATATCTGCTCAATTACCTGGGAGTTTAGTAAATAGATAGTAATTTAAAACAGCATTGTTATAGACATCATTAGATGAAGAATAAACAGATGTTCTATTATAAACAATATATGAATTAACTTAAGATTTTAATTTTATAGATTTAGAGATGGTTTTTTAAACTTGGCCAAGTTCAGGTCCAATAAAAATAAGTAGAGTTTAAATAGAGTAATTGAAAGAAGATGGTGAATTACCTGATATAGTTCGTGAATGTATAGATGGTTTATTGGAATATGCTAATAAACAGGGATTATCAATATTAGATTTAAGAAAATAGATAGATGAAGATAATAGTGGACATGTGGAGAGAATTGAAATGAAATAATTTATGGTTAAATGTGAAATTCAATTGAATGATGAATAATATGATTTAGTTATAGATCATTTTGATTTAGAAGGAGATGGACGTATATCTACTAATGATTTTGGCATTGTTTTAAATAAAGCTTATAATCTTAAGATGTTAGCAATGAAAGAATAAAGAAGTGCTAAGAAAACTTCAAAATGTATTAATATATATATTTAGAAATATTAAATTTGGTTGCAAATCATTTTGTTTAATTTATGTAGACAAATAAATTAGATCTATTTTAAATTTTTATGACTATTGATTAAGATGGCTCTGGATCAGTGAGTAAGGATGAATTTAAATAAATGTTGAGAACTCGAGTAAGTGTATATACTTAAAAGGAAGATTGTAATTCCTTTAGATTAAGAAGAGTATTCTGAGTTTTTCAAATTGATTGATAATTCTAATGATGGATAGATACATTTTAATGAGTTTTAATCACATATGATACCAGAGATTGAGAAGATTACTTAGAGACCATATCATGAATTGTTAAATGAGTAAACTACTAAGAAAGTTACATGATTAATATATATTTATTATAATTGATTTAATAAAAACATCAAGTATTTAAAAATTCATTTATTTAAAATATTTATTCTGTTTTTGAACTCAATTCTTTCAATGCCTAAATTCCTTCTAATTTTATAAACTCTTCTTTCCACATTTCATACTTATCCTTGTTTATATTTCTAACCTTTTTTAATAATTATTCTAATAATTCTACTGACTTACAATTTAATTATACATTATCTTAATTTATATTTTATCTTAAATTTTTAATGATTATTCTAATTAATTATTAATCAATTAAGCATTAAACTTATTCAATATTTCCTAAATTTATCAAATTTTCAAATATTGATAAAATCTTTATGAATGCAAATTCTTTCTATTCAACACTATAAATTCTAATTAGTATTGCAATTATGGTTTTTTATTCAAAAAGATAATTAACTCCTAATTATTTATTAGTAATCTAAACTAAAAATGCAAGACATCTATGAAAAGTGCTTTTATCTTTGCAATCTAATAACTTTTAGACTTATCTCATTATTCCTTATTTTAAAACAAACTAGAATTATTAATCAGTTCCAGATAAAACAAATATTAAATTTGTTAAAATGACTTATAATAATTCATATTCTGATTCATGTTTTTTCATGAGTTAAATAAATCTCGTAATTATATTCAGATCTAAAAGTAATTAAATTCTTTTTAGATGGTTTTCTTTTAAAGGAGGTAAAGGTATCCATTTACCAGTTACAATACAAATGCATTTAGATATAATTCCAATTTTATTTTCTTTGTGAATTTTATCAACTATAAATAGAATACTTGACTTAATTAATTCAAATTTCATGGAAGGTTTTTTTGTACACAAAGAATACAGTGTTTTTAAACAATATTCAGGTTCTTTAGAATATCTTTTAAATATAAATTATTCACATTAACTATTGAGGAATTATTTACAAAAAGATTTCGAATGTCTAATTTTAGCAGCTTATAAAACAGCAACAAGCCCAGTAAATGAGATTAAATCTATATTAGATTAAAGTAAAAAAGACAGTGTTTATACTAATCCATTATGTAATATTAGTTCTACTTATTAAGATGTTCCACAAAGTAAACATAAAAGGATTTAAGTAGAATCTATTGTACTTTGTATAGAGTATTGAACTTAAATTAAATGAATAAGGGTTTGAATAATATTATTTTGAATGATGAATTAGGTAAAATGATATTAATTACCAGCTTCATCTAAATCAAGAGGGAAATTCTCAATATGGAATTCTAGAAAGATTAATCGTAGCAATCTTTATAAGGCAATATGAATGGTTATGTAATCTTCAGAATTTAATTATTCTTTAATCGATTATATTTGTTCTCTTGTTATGTAAAGAGTATGTATAGAATCAACTTAAGATAATAGGTAATTTCGATCTTATTCATTTACTCTATCATCTATAATATATTCATCCATTAAATATTAATGTTGCTAACAAAGATTGTTTAGAATCCAAATAATATGATGACTTTTTTTTAATTATTTATGTTAATAAATTAGAGATATACCAAAATATTTTATAATATACTCATTATGTAATATGTAATCTATGCTTTTAAATTAATCATGACAGCTATATTCATACTTAACAATCAACTGTGAAAGATAAGAACTAACTGATTGAGTGTTAGAAGTTCTTCTTTTAATTAATTGCCTCTGTATATCATAAAGGAAATGAAATGAATGTTCTTAAATAAATAGTAATTAATTAGTTTATTGTAATTTAACCATGAATCTATCTCATTATATTATATGATAAATGAAGATCTTGATCCTTTCTTTAATTTAGCTACAAAAGAAATTGAAACGAGCCTATATTAAATGTGAAATTACTTGACCTCTATTAATAATTAAAAGTCTATATGATTTTTTTGTCATTTTTGATACCCTGTTATGATATGGTACAAATTTAAACTAAAATCTTTAAATCCACTTAAGAAAACATGTAATGCTAGAACAATCAGAAAAAATTCAAGGAGATGTTTATGTCACAGATCAAGAACTTCTTATACTACCTTGTGATCCAAAATATCATTTACATTTTAGTTACATCCAAAAATAGTTTTAATTAATTCTACTAGTCCTAAATTTAGATCAAGTTTTTCGGATTTAATTAGTAGTAATAATAATGATTCTTATTATTATTATATGATATAATATATCATAATGTTGCAGATGCAATTTTTCTTTCTTTGTATTCTTCAATTAACTTCATCAAATGATTCATAGATTTTTGTGGATCCAATCCTTTTGGACATGTAAATGAACACATTCCAATATTTTAGCAATCTTCAACCTTGACATCCTCAGCTAGATAAAATGATTTGATAGATTACCTAATTTTTCTAATCTTTCATCAGTATATTCATCTCTAGAATCTACAATCCATCTATAAGCCTACATTAAGACAGCTGGTCCAAGATATCTATCTGGATGCCACCAATAAGAAGGACAAGAAGTTGAACAGCAAGCACATAAGACACATTCGTATAGACCATCTAATAACTTTCTATCTTCAACAGATTAGATATATTCCTTATTTCCTTCCTAATAATAAATATTAGATATAGTTTACTTTAGGAGTCTTCCTCTTTAAATATGGATCAATAGTCTTATATTAAGTGTAGAAATTGGTCATATCAACTACTAGATCTTTAACAACAAACATATGTCCCAAAGGAGTAATATAAGCTGGCTAAGTTAAGTCTGTGTCAATTGCATGTATGCAAGCCAATTTATGAAGACCATTACAATTCATAGAACAGGATCCACAAATACCTTCTCTACAAGAACGACGTAAAGATAATGAAGAATCATAATTATCTTTAATGTAAAGCAATGCATCTAAATACATAGGAGGTATCTTCTTTAAGTCGACGTAATAGCTAACATACTTTGGAAAGTCATTCTCATCCTAAAATATAAATATTTCAAATACAGCAGGATCATATCTATAAATTAAGAATTGCTTCATTTTTGATTTCTCTTCAGCTGTCAATTTAACATCATGCTCAACTACATAGTTTATTTATTAGATGCCCTTCACTGTACTAGAAACTGTATCAAATAATCTTTTTGTAGCATCATTGCTGTCATGATGATGTGTTCCATGCCAGAATATTGGTCTTCTTAATATTGTAGACAATCTCTATAGCATAATTTAATTTATTCAATTCAATCTTCACTACATAGTATTTATAATATCAATTTTCCTTCTATTCTTATTACTTCTCTTCTTCTTCCTTTCCTTTTTAATTCTCCTCTTCCTTTTTTATCTTCTCTATAATCTCCTTCTCATTTATATCTGGAAAATCTTTCATTAATTCACATTTTGCATTATGTATCATTGATTAAATAAAAAATGATCCTCCTTTAACTGGATCATTCTTATGAAACTATCTCCAATAAATCTATAACACTCTAATATTATTTATACTTTTATTATTTCTTCCGCATTTGCCTTCTCAGCTGTTAATTATAATATTTTTAATGCTTCTTCTCTTGTCATAGGTTTATGAGTCAAATTAGCTGCCTACATTGTCTAATTCAAAAACTCTGTAAAAGGATTTGCTGCCTTTCCTCCTTATTCTAAACATTTTTATCATGTTTACATTTTGCTGTCTATTAATATGCCTTCATGAAAGATTTTGCTACTGTTGAACCTACTTCTATTATTAATTTGATTATCAGATGCTTTACCATTAATAAAAATTATTCTTAAATTATTTTTATTTTTTTATAAATATAATATTTTTATTATTTTAAAATCTTCAATCTCTTTTCATTTTGCACATTTATTTTCCATTCTATTACTAAATTCTTACATTTTTTAATCACTTTATTAATTTATAATTAATATATTATTATTTTTTTTTAAATCATAAAATCATGAATACCAATACTAGCTCTTAATCACAATATAATAAAATTATCAATTTCATAAACTCTCCAGAATTAATAATTTTAAAATCCAAAATCCCTAATAGATATTTTGGAAAAATTAAGTTAAAATAAGGAAAATATATCATTTATATTTGATGGCTCCGCATTTTGTTGTTATTGTCAAAAATATTTAACAATAAATAATTTCAAAATGTTACCATGTAGTCATAATGTTTATGTTGATTGCTTCAAATAATATTTGATATAATTACCATTCTTTATAGAATCTATCAATATTTTTTTAGTGTTGTTAAGAATCTGAAATATGTTCCAAAGTAATAATTACAGATAAAATTTCATATCTATCTTAGGAGGAGAACAATTTACAAATTTAAAAAATTTGTACATATTTTTATCATTAATTAGTTATGGATATGAGATACAAAATTTAGATGATGATACTAAAGCAATATATGAATAAGAGTAAACAAAAAATTTTCAAGATTTTATATTGACATAAAATGATGCTGATTTAGCATTAAAATTTTAAGAAGAAGAATATAAAAAATAAATATGCAATTTAATTTGATTGTGTAATTTGTGCAGGCAGAAATAAAGTGAATGCTGGAGCAATTACATTAAAATGTAAACATAGATTAGTAAGAATTGTTGACCTGAATATATTGTAAATTTAGTAAAGGAAGGAAAATATGGAGAAAATTATATAGTATGTTCTAGTTGCAAAGAACCAATTGATTTTCATATAATAAATAATTGTGCTTCTGAATAGAGTTCTAAAATAAATGAAGAAAGGTATTTTATGTTACTAAATAATATTAGAGTAAAAAAATGAATTCTAATAATGAAATGGAATAATTAGTAAATTGTCTTGGTATTGATTGTCCATAAAAATTTACGATAGAGTAATAAGGTGTTCAGTAGAAGATGAAGTAATTAATAGAAAGTTTTTAATTAATTGATATGAACTTAATAATTAATATTAATATTAACAATTATGAATATTCAATAATTATTATTTGATCTATTTCCTGTTCTTTTTTTATATCCACCTCCAGAATTATCACTTTCATCTTCATCAACCTATTTTTTTCTTCCTCCATTATTATTATAACTTCTCCCTCTTCCTCTATTTGATTATACATTAGGTCTTTCTGGATCTGCCACTTTTCTATAAGAATCTCTAACCTAATTGCCTCCTGTACCTCTTCCATATTCTCTACCTTCTGAATATCCAATATCCCAATCTACTCTTATTGCTCTCTCATCTAATTTTAATAAATCTAAATATTCATGTGCTTCTTTTGCATCTTCATGATTGAAGTATTCAATAAAACAAAAACCTATAGCCTTTCCTGTTTCTTTATTTCTTCCCATTATTAATCTTCTTACTCCTCCACCTACTCTATTAAATAATTCAAATATTTATTCTTCTGTTGTATATATAGACAGATTTCCTAAATATAACGTTGTAGATATTGAAAGTTTATAAAAATATTCCTCTCTTGTCAAATTTGAACTCTTGTCATAGTATTAACTTATTGGTTGTTAAAGATTTTCATATAAACTTGCAGCATTCAAATTACTCATTTGATTTTTATTATTGAAGTCAAACCATTTATATGTATAAATTAAATATAATAATATCACCACCATTTATAACACCCATAAAATTATAAAAGGAATATTTATTTAAATAAATTAAATACACTTCTTTATTCTTATCATGATGATCAAGCATATGTCTGATCCTATGTGATCGATGTTAAAGGATTCTGAACTTAATACTTTTTATTTATTATTACAATACTAATTTATTCTTTTCATATTTTTATTATTTATTTCATTTTTTATGATCAAATTAGAAAACAAAGCTTCCAAAATCTTATGTACTTAACATCAAAAAAGCATCTAATTTATTACTCTATCCAAATCTTCAAATCCTAAATTACTCTGTTAAAAATGCACTTAAAAAAATAAAATTTCTATCAATCAAGCTTCATAATTACTTATGGATATCAATTAAGACCATCCCTTAAATTATCATATCAAAGAACTACAAAAATAATATGAAAATTTAAGAAAAGAAATTAAAACTAAAGTAGATGAATTACTTGATGAAACTGAAGATTGTCTTAATAGTCTAATCAATCATAAATTAAATGATAAATAAATTTAGCATTATTTATATGATGATAAATTATATGAATAAGATTTTGACAAATTACATGAAATTTTATGCAAGTATTATGATTTTGAATAAGACAATCAAATAATTGCTAAAATTCCATCTACTGATATGCATAATATTTATTAAGTTTAATAAAAATGTTAGAAAATTGCTTCAATTGTTAAGGCTTTCTATAAATCCTAATATCATTAAAGACTTGGAACTTAACAAAGTCAAGAAAATTTAATTACATAAGTTCCACCTAAAATAAATAATAAACCAGAAAAAATATTTGATTAAGATAAAACTGATGAAATCAAAAATAAAGGTTTATTTTCAATAAAAGAAGAAATTACAACAAATTCTGTTTGCAATTGTATTGCTTTAAATAAAACTGCTTCATTAATAGTATGTGGTATGTAAGGAAATAACAATGAAGATAATCTTGTTTTACTTTAGTAGAAAGAAGAAGGATATAAAGAATTTTAGACTCTGGAAGGTCATGTTGGATCTGTAAATGCTGTGTGTTTTGGTCATATTAGTAATACAATTGTATCAGCAGGAGAGGATAAAACTATTAGAATTTGGAAAGAATATTTATAAAGTAAAGAGAAAGAAAAGAAATATTATAATTGTAAATAAATCATTAATGAAGCTCATAATATTGATATTCATTGTTTGTGTTTCAATTAATTAAATAACTTATTAGCTTCAGGTTGTCAAGAAGGAAATATAAAAATTTGGATTGAAGTAGAAGATATATGGATTAATTCCTAGATTTTAATCATTCATACTTAATGGGTAAAATCATTAAGTTTTAATTATGATTCTACTTTTTTAGTGTCAGGAAGTGGAGATAAATTAATTTGTGTTTGGAATTTAAATGAAGATTGGGAGCATTTTTAAACTATTACAGAACATGCAAATTTAATTACATGTGTTAATTTTGCATAAAATGAAAATACATTTGTAAGTGGTTCTGAAGATCAAACAATTAAAATTTGGAATTATTAACAAAATCAATCAAATCCTAAATTCATTTGCATCTAATAATTGGAAGGAGGATATTACATTAGATCAGTTTATTTTAATTACAATTCTTTACTTTTAGTTTCTGGATCTTATAGTAGTATTAAAGTTTGGGTTAAAAATCATGGAGGTTAATTCATATTGAATTAATAAAAATATTTTGATTCACGATAAGTATTACTCTCTGAAAATTCCAAATCATTGTTTTCAATAAATAGATTCAGCTTAGGCATTAAAATGTTTAGAATAAAAGAAAAAAATAAAAAAAATAATATAAAACTCAAATCTTGATTAAATTTAGATTTTATAAAAAATAATATAAAGAAAGATTTTATCTAATTCATTATTTTTAATAATGAAAAATCTAATGCTTTCTATTAAAGAAAAATAAAGACATTTATAAATTTTTAATAAAAATTAATTTTATTGTATTAAAGTTTCTTCTTAAATTAACAAATTATAGTCAATCATTAGACTCAATGCCTAATTATTTTAACATATTTTTTAATTTCTTAATCATTTCTTATTTTTATAATTCTTACAAAATAAATTAATATTTCCAGTGATTTATATTACACTTAAATGTATTGTTTTAGTCCCATATTTCATGAGTACTTCTAACAATAATTTTATCCTATATTTTTTAATCTTTTTGAATAATGAAAATAGAAAAAGAATCTTTTTATTCACAGAGGTTGCTACTGAATTAGATTAAATAATTATTTATAATTTTTATGAATTTATTTTACCTAAAATCATTCTTATAATATTAAAAATTAATTGTATGTGTTTTATAAAATGCTTATTAATTATTATAAATAAATCAATCTCCTCCTGGTGTAGAATAATTACTAAAATATAAAAATCCTGATGAACTATTGTAATCTTGATCTTCTGTAAATTAATTTTCATAAAATAGGTTCCAAATTTAATCATAATCGTCAAGTTTTTTTAAATTAGGAAGTATTCTTGACAATTATACTGAAAACAAATAATTCAAAAATTTCATCCTAATTTTACATTCAGGAATCCTTCTAATAATATTGCTATTAATTTTTGTCCCACATCTACATTTAATATTGGGAACTTTTTTATCTTCAATCTAAAATTTAAGCCAATTCATTAAGCAATCCTAATGATAGATATGCCCACAATTTAATTTTAGTAAAGAATTAGAAATTTCAATTCCACAATATAAACAAACACTAATTATGAAGAGTTTAGATTGACTAATGTGTAGAATTCCACTTTCATTTATTGTGTATTCTATAATATTTTTTTAAAGCTCTCCCTTTTTTTCATCATAATTAAAATCATAGTCTTACTTTTTGATATTTAATTCTATCATCTTATAAATTTATTATAAATCACATAATTTTCTTATATTTGAATTTTATAGTAATTTGAAAATTTAATTTGAAAAAATCTAGTAAAGAAATTTAGATCTAACTTCAACATCTACTATTTATCTTAAAATATTTGAATTCAATTTTGTTCCACATTTACATTTTATTATAAATCTTTCTTAATTTGATAATTATTTTTCTATCTATTATATAAAACAAATCTCATGGTATTAATGTTAGCAAATTATTTTAATAACTGTGTCTTAAATTAATTACCTGCAATCATAACAATAATTATTTTATTTACACTCATTTACTTGTCTTATTAGCTTACCTGATTAATCTATTAAGATAGCTTGATTAGATTCAATAAAATTAACATTTATCTGCCCTTTTGTTTTTTGTGATAATTTTCCATTAAAGTATTCTTCATTAAATGAGAATTCTCTATCTTATATTTACTCTCCTATTGATTAAGTTTGTCCTAAGTTTAAATTAGAAATAGAAGGCTGCTTTTGTGAGTTTTGATTATTTAAACTCATTGTTTATTTTTCAATTTTTTGTTTTTAAGTGGATATACCTGGAAAAAGAGAACCCATATATTTAAAAAAAAAAAAATTAATATTCAAACATTAAAATAATATAAATGCTATTTTATGTTAATTATAATCATGTCTATCATTATTTTATAATGATTCCAATTTGACCACAAATTTAACAATTGGTTATGTATTAATCATAAAATCCTTTAATCCAAAAAAATTAACATTTTACACATTAGTTTATTTTATTTTTCAATTAATTCTTAATTAAAATTATTTGTTTCGAAAACAATTATTCTAAATTAACATTCAAAATTTATTTAAAAAAGAGTTAACTTAATTTACGTTAACAAATACATATGATTTATTTTGAATCTAAATAAGACTCTAATTAAATTTAATATAATTCTATTAAACATGCTTAATGATAAAAGTGTAAGCAAGGAGTTTAAATAGAATCTGATTCAATATATTTCTAACAATTATAGCATACCGATCTGACTTAAAAATATTCAGTTTCAAATAGATTTTTATTTTTATTGTCATTTTTCTGACTATTATTAAAATAATTTGTTTCTTTCTAATTAACAACTTAATTAATATTCTTTTCCTAAATTTATGGATTAATCTAATCATGTTAACTTTCTACAAATTTAAATTTTAAAGACCCTTTATAAAGCATAGAACTCGTAAGATAATCTTTTTTTTCATTAGAATTTGATTTTTATAGATTCTAACTATTAAAATTGTTTGATGTTTAGCTAAATTTTTATAACATCTTCCCACCTGGCATGAAGATTTTAGATTTTGATTATGATATAGTTGATGAATCAGATTATTATGGTTATAATTTTTAATTATTTAGATTTAGAATTTTCTATTGTTGAACTTAAATCTATGATGAGTTTAAAATTATTTATTTTTAAATATTGACCTCAGCCTATGTAATATTTTCTTCTAATATTTATTTTTGAATTAATTAAATTACTTTTTCTAATTAGCTTTTAGCAAAATTTAAATTTTAATTCATTTCTTATATTTCCTTTTAGACATATTATTGGATTTATATTTACTTTTTTCTTAGGTCTTATAAGAGTATTTTTAAATTATCAAAAATGCTTTAAACATTAATCTGAGCTGTTTAACTTTAATTCTAATCACTGAAAACTTTATTTATATTAATTTTCTCTGTTGATTATTTTTCAATCAACTTTTATCCAATATATTTCTAGTCTTTGATTTAAATTTATTAATTCTTATTTACATTATTCATTGTTTATTTTATAATTTAAAATTTATTTAATAAAAAATTAGAATAATGGCATGATAAATAAAATTTATTGGAACAATCTTAATATAATAATATATTTTAAATTATAATAATAATCATCCTGTTGGGCCTTATGTTTATGATATCAATTTAATTTTAGATTTCATTTGCATTTGTGCTGGCTATTCTTAAATATATGATATTTATTGAGGTTAGGAATAGAAATCATTCTAAAGAGTTGTGTTATTATATGATTATGACTACATTTATTATTAATATTAAATAGGATTATTATAATTAGGCTATTGCGAAATTTATTGTAAATTGTATTATTATTAGAAATCTTAAGGTAAAGGTTAAGTTTAATTGTTGAAATTAAAATTTTACACTTGTGGCTCCTAATAATTGTAATATTTATTTATTTCTTCGCAAAATTTTTTTACTGTATCCTCATATTTCGCAATATTGAATAGATTTTAGTCTGTGAATGCTTGAGTTGTCAATATTTTTTATTACAAGTCTGAGAAATAATTTTGAATATTTTAATTTAAGATACTGTTATACTCCATTACTTTTTATTCTATTTATTACTTAAACTAATTAAGCTCCTAAAACTATTCATCAAATGATGAATACACTTTTTCAATTTTTTCTGATGATAGTTTCCAAGTCTCATGAGCTTATTCATTGTTTTAAATAAATTTCAATATTCTCTCTGGAAATTTATCATTTTTTTCTATTTTCTTATCTAATTCTTGTAATTTAAATTATTATGTTTCTATTTTCTTATCTAATTCTTGTAATTTGAATTATTATGTTTCTATTTTTTTATCTAATTCTTGTAATTATTATGTTTCTATTTTTTTATTTTATTATTATAATTTTTATATTTCCCCTTCCAAAGTTTATATTCTCTAAACTTAATCATTTATCTAATTTTTAAAATTAGATATTTCTTCTTTATTTTAATTGATAAATCCTATTAATTCCTCTTTAACTTTTTAAGTTTATTCTTAAACAATATTTTAGATTTGCTCCTAATCGGATTCCTGATGAAAGCTTTGTTTTTTCATTGATTAATCTTAAATATTTATTCCCTTAATAAAATAGATGATCTTACTTTTCTTTGGGCTGTATTTGAATTTGAGTTAATCTGGGTTTGTGGTGGTTAGGTAGATGGAGTTGAAATAGTGGAGATCTTCTTATCAGGAACTCGTGTCGTTGTTCCCTTACTATAGTTAGTACTACTACTCATCTAATTCTATTAATATAAATATTAAAAAATAAATAAAAAATGAAATTTAGTTTATATTCATATCATTTAATATGATTAAAGATCTATGAATGAGAGAATATATTTAAATAATCAATAATATTTATTTTTTTGAAAAATAAAATGTAATTTAAAGAGATTTATTTATGTCTTAGAAAATGCTGTCTAAGGGTTTGTGGTTGATTAAAATTCGATTTAATAGCATAGAATTAGATATTGATTATTATATTATATAAAAATTAATAAGTTTATATGGGAAATTGTTTAAAAAGAAACTAAACCTAGTTATAATAAAATCAATAATGTCCAAAATGCCATTTAGTTTTTTAAGCATAAGCAAGTGCTGTTCAGGTAAGTTTATAGAAATAAAAAAAGTACTAATAACATGTAACAAATTGCAGAGTTAGACAAATTTAAATCCAAGCTGTTTAATCTCGTAATTTATAAGTTGGTGATGTAATAATTGAACCGAACCATCATCCAAATCCGAATCCAAATCCAAACCCAAGAACCACTGTACTAAGATTATTTTAATAATATTTAGCCTCATTATATATAGGATGATTTTCAAAATAGAAAATAAAAATATTATTGGTGTAAAGAATTATTGGCTGGGTCTAAGATTAAATATAAATGGAACAAGAAAGTATTTGAAACAATTATTTTAACTCTCAGTTATCTCCTCCAATGCCAGGATCAAATGTTTCTGAAATGTTAGCTTTACCATGGGTTTAGATTAAGAATTCTGAATTCCCTATCAAATAAACATGGTTTAGATTACAATTAGAGAAAAAAAGAATACCTTGGTAATAAGGAGCAGAAACGTTATCTGTAAATAAAGAGAGTTTTTTAATGACTACATTAAATATGTACAAAGAAATTAATTGGCATAAAGAAGTGAAGGTTCATATAGATGGTGATAAAGTATTGGATGCAGGAGGACTTCTTAGAGAATGGGCTAATTTAATAATGAAAGAAATTATACATCCAGAATCGGGTATGTTTTAATTAGCTGATTGTGAGGATGCATCATATAAAATTAATTGTGAAGCAGACACAGATGAACATATTATAGATTGTTTTAAATTATTAGGTATTGTTGTTGGTAAATGCATATTTGAAAGGATACCTTTAAATATTTATTTTGATAGGTCAATTATTAAACACATTATAGGATAACCTATTTTCTTAGAAGATATTTATTATTATGATAGATAAGTATTTCTTATTTTAATTTAGTTATATCAATCTTGGGATTTCTTAGTTAATAATAAATTTGAGGCAGATGATGTTTCTGAATTCTTTGTTATTTACAGATAAAGTAAAAGAGATTATTATGAATTAAAACCAGGTGGATAAAATATTTAATTAGATATGGATAATTGCCAAGAATACGTTAATTTATGGTAAATATATAAATCAAATTTAGCATTGAATATTATACATATTTATCAGTGAAGCCGTTTTTGACTGCTTTTTTATCAACTTTATATAGTGTATTAAATTAATGTTAAATTATTAGATAATTCCAAAACAACTTCTTAGTTTACTTGAACCTTTGGAATTAGAAATGATTCTTTATGGGACTCCTTTTATTGATATAAATGATTGGAAAGATAATACTGATTATAAAGGGGCTTATTACAGAACTCACTAAACAATATAATGGTTTTGGGAAATTTTAGAATAGTTAGATTAATTTAATCTTGCTAAATTTTTATAATTTTGTACTGGATCTACGCGAACACCTGTAGAAGGATTTAGAAAGTTAGAAAGTAATAGAGGAAATTGTTCTAAGTTTTGTATTGAAAGTGTTCCATTTACTAAAGCTAATCCTTTCCCAAAAGCTCATACATGTTTTAATAGATTGGAACTACCCATGTATGAAACAAGAGAAGATATTGAATCATATTTAAAAGCAGTAATATAAGCTGATATGGATGGATAATTTGGAATGGAATGATGATGATGTTTAATTCAATATTATATAATTAATAATTTAAATTATGCATTCTCATTTATTATAGGATCCATAAATAAATAATAATGACTAGCCAAAAAAAATTAAAAAAAAAAACAAATATGACTATCATAGAAAAAAAAGAAGAAGCTCTGATGCTTCTAATTCTAAAAAAATAAGTTAAAAATTTACATTAGAAGAAGATAAACTAATTCTACAGTTAGTTCTAAATGTCGGACCTAAGTTTTAAAAAATTCATAAACATTTTCCAGGTAAAACACTAGCTATGGTAAAAAATAGATATTATAAATATCTTCGATATAGATGGGAGGTCTTAGGATAGTATACATTTTTATTATATTTAGAAACTACAAACATTTAAGTGTTCACTAGGATTCTTATGAAAATTTATGTGAGTTATAAAAAATAGTTAGAGATTAACTTGATGAAGAAAAAAGCTTATTGATATCATAAATAATCTCACATACAAAATTACTTTCAAATACTCGTATGTTTGTTGAATATTTAGTTGAGCAATTATTATGAATTCATTATTTTTTGTTAACATATTATCCAAATTAATACAACTACTACTTCATTTTATTATTGCTTATCATTAAATAAAGACTCAATATCAAATTAATACTTTACTAAAACTTTAAAGAATTTTTAGCTAAAATAACTAAAGAAAACTATTCCCTCTATTATTTAACCAAAAACAAATAAAAGATTATTTTAGCTTTCAGTTATAGAATCATGTAAGCATAAGCATTTTATAAAACCTGGAATTAGAGTTACTTTATACAATATTCATAAATTATAATACTAAATGTGTAATATATTTAAATCTCTAAAATACTTCTAATGTATTTTCTTACTTATCATTTATCTAACAATTATCAAAATAAACATAGACTTTACTTATGAAGTAATATAATCATTTTATAGAATTTTAGTCTTATGATGTAATTAAAAAAAAATGTTTAAAACATTGATTAAGATAATAAATTTCAATTAATATATGTGAAATATTATTTTATATTTACACTGTTTATAAAAGTATCATTTGTGTAATGAAATTTAAATATTTTTAAAATTTAGGAGCATATACACTTAATTACAAATCCAACATTACTACTTTAAAATAAAATTGAACATTTTATTATTTTATTGAAATGAAACTGATTTAATTATATATTTAACAAAGATATAATTCTTTTTGATTCAATTACAATATAATTTAATATGTATTTCTATTAATTAATGCCTATAATTGAAATTTTGTTAATTTAATAATGCAATTTACTCCAAAAGTAAATGAGTTCAACTATGAAAGACCTACGATAAAAATTTATAAACTAAGTTAACAGGTAGTATTAAATAGAGCTGTTTCTGAGTAAAAATTGAGAAAATCTAGAGCAGTTTCAGATATGTAAAATTATTCTTCAAAGCAGATTGATTTTAAAGAAGAAATGAAAAAGCTTGAGATAATTTAAAAACCATAAGAGCTAAAAAGAGAAATATTTAAATAAATAAAATAAACTTGTCAAGAGTTTAGAAATGTTGAAAGGGAAAGAGATGGATCATTATGGGTGAAATCATATTGTACAAATGAAAAAATTAAAATAAGTAAATTATATTAAGGTATTAAAAATACACAAACAATTGATTATAAAAATTTTAATTAAAGAAGAAATAGTAATGCATATATAAAACCTAAAAAGAAAACAGTTGAAATTCTTTAATCTTGTTAGTAATAAAATAGTAAACCAAGAACTTAATAATTAAGATTGAGATTAAAGAGTAAAAATGTATTTTAAGATACTAATTAATAAAATGGATATTACACAGCGAGAGAATGTTAATAGAATTTAGTAACCTAGTAATTAAATAATGATACAACAAAAATTAAAAAAGAAGTAGTAAATGATAAAGATATGGGAGTCTTTGATGAAATGTTGAAATTTTACAATTAAGAAAGGATTGTTACTATAACACAAGACATAATGCGTAGAAAAGTTGATTTCAAAAAAATATAAAATGAGTTAAAAAGGACTCTATAATATATTAGTAGATTAAATTTGGATATTTATTAGGCATTTAGTGATAAAGTGATAAGTACTAAACCATTCTAAAAAAAGCATTCTTATGAATTTATTTAAGCTGCAAAGTAAGGAAAAGAATGGGAAGTAAAAGAGTTTATAAAAGATAACAAATATTTGGTTTACGATTTTGATTATGTAAGTGTGATTCAAAACACTTATAGATTTACATGACGGCTTTACATTGGGCTTGTAAGAGAGAGCATTTTGAAATTGTTAAGCTATTAATAGAAAATGGTGCTGATATTGAATTTTAAGATATCATAGGAAGACCAACACTATATTTTGCTATTATAGGTGGAGATCCTAAAATTGTGAAATATATTTTAGATAAAAAGGCAGATCCTTGGTCAACAGCTGCTGTAAATTACAATTAATTATGTATGGAATACAATCCTTCTCTTTTATAATTAATTGCACAAGCAAGAAAGGCTCATATCACTTTAAAAATGACACCTCCATTATAAAGAGAAACAATTTGGAAAATATTAAGAAGATGAAAAATTAATCACAAATTCTAATTAAACTATTTCAAAGATCAATATTAATCTAAATAATAATTCAATTATAATTTTAATATATATATATATTTATTTATTTTATTTCATTTAATGTTATTCTCTAATTAAATTAGAATACAATTTAGATATGAAAACTTGTCTATTTTAATAATTAATTCAATATAAATGATTTAAATTTTATTGAATAAATATTAATTATAATATTAAATTTATAATAAACCCATAATATGAAAATTAATTTTTTATTATAAAAGCTTTTATTTTAATCAAATTATCTTAATCGCAAGATTCAAAAAGATGCTAAACCTATCCAAGTTTAAACCTATTTAATAGGTTGCGGGCAAGGCTCCTATTCCGGAAGCTGAGCTCGTTTCAAATTTAAACAAACGAAATTATTTTTATTAAGAATTTATAATTTTATATTCAAAATAGGTTGACAAATATAGTAAAAAATCTAGATAATTTTTCTGGAAGGAATATATATCAATCTATGATATTGTATAAATAATTAAACTAAAAAAAATAATTAATCTTATGTTTATATATATTATTATTTTTATTTAAAAAATATGTATTAATTATGGAGATTCATCAAGAAGGGTATAGTCAGCTAGCCCCATATGGTTGGAGGAGTAATAATTGGATATTTTGGAATAGGAATTCTAAGCTATTATAATGGGGAAATACAATTTAATTATGTGAGAATAATAATAATATCCTCAATAGGGAGAATATAATCAACCTCATTCACACAATCATGGAGAGCAAGTTAGATAATATTGTGAATCAACTTTATTGAAGATTAGATCACAAGTAAATGAACTCAGAGAATAACATTGAAATTATCTGAATGATAATTATATAATATACACAATCATAAAAATATCATGTTTTAGCATTAAGTGCAAGCTAATTATGGTTTTAATTTTTAGATTATTTGTAATATTCCGCACTTATTACAGAATTTACAAATAATTTGTGAAAATTATCGATTAATTTAGCATTGGTGTTATTAATGACAAAATTCAAGGCAATTATAACAGAAAAATTTATTACAATTACTACAAAAATTGATTCTGTTCTCAATATTTTCATCTAAATAAAAAAAATAATTGCAATCATTCATGGGACATGTAGTGAATTATCCCATTAATTTTAATGCTTGATGATTTAGATTAGTTTTTATTAATTTACTTTAATCAGAAAATTTGCAATCTTAGATTTTTATTCTGCCATAACATAATCTATTTGTATTAGAAAGTCTTCCTATACAATTTCCAGTTACAAATCCCATTTCTATTTATTATTTGACTTTCTTTTATTGACATTTCTCATGATAAAAATGATGACAATTAGTTTCTATTTCTTCTGATGTTTATATTATGTTGAGATTGCAAACACAACATGTATTAAGAATTTTAAGAATTTTAACAGATTACTAAATAAAAATTAAATATACACTAACTGAATGTTTAGTTCTATATGGTTTAGATTCCAAAATTTGATTAGATTGTTAAGTTTCTTTTTTTAATGAATTCAAATTTTCAAGAATTAACTTTATCATTGCATCTTATAATTCAATTTTTTAATATATTTTTTATTCAAGTTTATGTAATTTTGCATCTATAAATTCTTCTATTTATTTGATTACATTATCTATTAATATATCCATAATTTATTTAATATAAATATGTATTAAATAATAAAGTTTAAAAAATAAGACAAAAATAAATAAATTTTTTTGAAATACAATTTAAATAAATATCAATATTCTAGAAAATCAAAGTATATATTAAAATGCTTACTCATGCATAACATAATAAATATTTATTGCAATTGAGGGGAAGCGTTGTTAAAACCCCATTATATTATTTTAAAACATACAATTAATTACAAGGGGTCTGTAATAAAATTCATAGTAATGAAGCTAATAATAAAATTTATTCCCCACTAATTAGATCTTGATACATCACCACCAGAATCTTAGGCTTCAAATGCCATTGACACAATGATTAAATAGCTAAACAATCCTGTTAATCCTAAAAAGCCTAACCAACCTATAAATCTTAATATTAGGTATTAATGAGGCATAAGAACTGTGAAAATTATTAACTCAATCATCGATAATATGGATGAAAGAATGCTATAAGCAATTGTTGCCCCAGGATTCAATTCAACTTAAAAAAATATATTTATATAACAAGTTGTTAAAAAGGTCATGTAAATTAAGCAAAATCTAATTGGCCTTGGCAACTTTTTATCAAAAATTGCAATAATGCTTAAAATTGATTGAAACAAAGTTATAAATAAAAACAGATTTCTTAATGTAAATCTTAATTAAAATCCTTCTTCTAATAATTTTTTTCTTTTTTTTTCTAAATACCAAATTTGAATGATTTTTTCTTTTTCTTCAATTGTTAAACTATCATCTTCATAAAATTCATGATCTAAAAATAAAATATGTTCTTGAGATTTTCTATTTGTAATTTAACTCTTTACTAATTTATTGTTATTAGAATTTAGATGAGATTCTGGTTCTGATCCAGATTAAGCTACAAAGTTTTGTTATAAAATTTATTTTGTATCATAATTAGCACGAACTGGACTAGAAGAATTTGGAGATAATGGAGGATAATCACTTATTTTTGCTTAATTAGTAAAGGAATTACAAAATTTAGACTAATTATATGAACTTTTTTTTAAAATTATTTACTAGACATTTTCAGAGTTTCTAACAGAAAATTAATCTGATTGAATTCTTGAACTATGTCTTTCTTAAATCATATTTTTTTAAGTTTAATTTTGTTTTTAATTTTACAGACTTTCATCATATGATGAATTATGTTATTGAATTCTATTGACAATAGTGTTATTCAAAGAATATGGATTTTTATATTAAAAATATTTAGCATAAGGTGAAGGTGCTTATGTTTTATTATTATTTTTAGAAATATTAATAGGTGGATATTCTTCTAATTAAAATTCTTCATCACTATCATAAATTAAATCAAAATTAATATTATTACTATTATCACTTGATACTTATTATTATTATTATTATTATTATTATTAGTCTATTAATTCATCTGGGTCTATATCAGGAGCAATTATAACTTCTTATATCTATTCATCCTTATCCAAAGATTATTATTTTTATTCTTTACTATCAGTTATAATTTCTATTAAATTTTATTTTTGTTAAAATTCTTTCCATTCTTTATGTCTCTCTTCTTTAATTTTTTCCATTTCCTTTTACAATTCTTTCTATCTATCTTCAAACATTTTACGTATATATTCAGATTCTATCATATGTTGTGGCATAACTCTTTCTTTATCTAATTAATCCTTTTTAATTCCATAAGGTATCAATAAAATCAATAAAATAGTAAAAATTACTAAACAATAAAATATTATTGAACGATGAAATGGAAAATTATTTAGTGCTGAAATTGCTTCTAAAGAAAAAGATTTTGAAAATTTCTCAATTTATAAAATATCAGCCAAAGTACTACTAATTGTAGTTGGTCCAAAATAAGAACAATCACAAGATACGATTAAAGAAGAATGTATATCTATTTCTAATGATGTCTTACAAAAGTTAGATTCCCATTATGAGAAATATTTATTAGTACAACTAAAATCTACATAATTTGGTTATTCATCCATAAGAAATAAATCTTAATATTGTTGAAGTAATCTTGTTTATCTAAGTATTGTAACATTATATTTAGTAGTAATCGGTTAAGTAGGAATTAATAAACTACCATTAGATAATGTAGGTTCAATAGATTATATAGTTGTAAAATGAGTATTGTTTGGAAATGTGGAATCTAAGATAAATGGATTCTATTTGTAATAAAAATAACTAAAATTTAATAATAAACTTTATGATAGATTAGTACTGTTATCAATAGGTTAATCTACTATTTTTACAAATTCTATTTCACTCAAATATTCATTCATTTTTTCTGTTGTAAGTCTATTAAAAATTAAAGAAAATGAAGATCCAGTAAAAGTTATAGGATTATCGTTAACTTATTAAACCAATAATAATCCATATTTTAACATTTATAGTAAATCTTAAATTTACTGAAAATTACTTTACATATTTTTTAACATAGTTTCATTCAATAATGAAATATTTCCATTAAATTAATCATAGTAATAATTTGATTAAGATTTAAGCAAATAATCAAGCGTAGATAATTAATTGATCATGTTTGTTTTTTCAAGTTCTTTTTATTAATAATCCCTATATCCAGCTTCATTTTGGGAAATAGAATTTATTATTAATAAAGTATTATTAATACTTTTAGATAAACTTTCATTTAAATTAGTTAAATAGATTTAAATTGAATTAAAATCTTGTAAGTAATTAGTATCATTAATTATTACTCTTTGAATAGCTTTTTTAATTTACAATCTTGTAGTTTCTGTTAGAAGAGGTAAATCCATCTTAGTTTACAAGTCAGAATATAAAATAGATCTGATATTATTAAAATTATTTAAATCTGTTTAAAATTATTGAATTCCAATAGTTAATAAATTCAACATAGAAATATGTTAATCTTCACTTAAATCTTTAGATAAATTATATAAATTTGTAAAAGTATCTCCATTGTAATCATTTAATATTTTTCTACTAGATTTAGATGTTTTAATTGAATTTGATTTTGTTTCTGTTTCAAATTGTGAAACCTTTTCATCAAGTTCAATTAGACTCTATCCAACTATAACCTAGTTAATTAAATTAGTTTAAGCTCCTAATTAATTTTTGATTATAGCTATAATGATTGAATGAGTATAGGTAGATTTGGGTAAAATAGTTGTGTAAGTGTTTAGAGCTTAATAATCAATAATTAGATCTGAATTCATCTAAGAATTAGTTTAGATATCTTACAGATATTAGGTTTAATTATAATAAAATATAAATTTATAAAAAATAGGGTTAAATTGATCAACACAATTTAAAATTTCTAATTTGAAAATGGTATCAAAGGATAAACCTTATTTAGGAGAAATATTGAATTAACAATTTAAAGGTGATTAAATAGTAGTTATTTCAACACTAGATAGGAGTGGAGTGAAAAATATTGAATCTGTACTAAAAATTTAAAGTTTGATTAAATCATATCTATCTTATAATAGATGTGAAAGTGATATAGTAAAGGTATTATATGGTATAGAAAATGTAGAGAGCAATTAAAAATCATAAATTAAACAACCATATAGATTAGTGATTGATAGAGAAGAAACTTCAAATGTTAATTCTTGGTTAAAAAGTATAGGAGTATTTAATGCAATGTTTGGAGTATCAAGAGAGAATATAGAAATTTCAACATCTACAATAGTTATAATATTAGAAGTAGTAACAATTAGATCATTTTTTTGAGCTTTCATAAAAAACTAATAAGAATTAAAAGGAGAAAGGGTTCTACTCTTAATTATTTAAATTTATGAATGATTTAAATTAAAAGGCTCTTGATCAATAGTTTCACAAGGTCTTTGTAATGCAACATTTATACATGTCCATGTATATTCGAAGCCATCAGATTAATTTTCTTTGACATTTAAGTTTTTTACAATTGCAGTAATATTAAATGATTAGCCAAAACTACGGATTTAATTTCCACCTTAAATTTTTGCATAAATTCCAGGTAAAAGCATTTTGAAAATAATAGATTTAGACTTTATATTTTATTAATCAAAGGTAGCTAATAATTAAACTTCATAGAATCCAGATTATATGAATGTATAAGGTTGAATGATAAATTCAACAAATTTTTCAGAAGAGTGTTTGAAATTAAATTGTTTATCCAAAATAATTAAATTATTTTTGTACTTAGCTTACAATTTATAAAATGCATTTGAATCTTTAAGGGTTAATGAATCACAATTTGATTATTATTTTTATATTGTTGCTTTTATAAGAATTCTATTATTTATATAATATACTTAAGGTTATTGATCTTCATATTAAATAGTGATGATTGGTAAATCTATAGGTAAACAATGAATCTGAAAATGTTTGGTTTATAATTACCCTAAATAATTAAGAAATTAATATTTAAATTTGTAGATAGTATTTTCTAATAAGATGAATGGAGGGATTGTAACAGCTGTAGATTTGTATAAATTAACTTCATAAAGAATTCCAGAGATTTATTGTTCTGTAATTAAATTATGAGGTGAAATAGATTCTAAATTCCATGATATCATTTTAAATCCATTATGACCATCAAAAAAGTATTAAGATACTTAAAATGTAGTAGTATCACAAGTTGATACTTGAGATGATCCAAATATCATAACATCACTTTCATTAATGATATATGGAGGTAAAATATTTGTTGGAAATATGGTTATATAAGGAAGATCACAATCGATTGCTTTTATTGTAGTTTATAATTATATGATATTTCCAATTTATATTTAATTATTTATTCCTAATTAAATAACTATTTGGAATTAATTATTTAGACTACATTTTGAACCTACTCCAAGAATAGATTAATCAATAATTTTAGAACATCCTTCATCAATATTAAAAGTGACTTATTTTCCAAATTTTATTATTAGTGTAGTTAAATCAGTTTACATTTAAATAATTGGTAATCCTAATTCACATGTTTCACAATGCATGTAACCTGCATCTTATCTATCTATTCCACCTGGTGGACAATCACAAATTGAACCAAATCTATTTGTTTTACAATTTAAACAACTTGCTTTATTACAAGTGATACATTCCTTTGGACAAGATTAACAATTTATATTCACTTCATCATCATAAAAACCATCTTCGCATTTACAAAATGGAATCTATTTTCTATCTCCTTTACAACTTACACAATTATATTAATTCACTATACATGTTTAACATTTAAAATGACATCTAAGACAATTTATTGATTCACCATCTTCATAAAAACCTTATTAACATAAACATTATTTATTGCTATTTATCGTTCTATTGCCTAAACATTCTGTGCAACCACTTTTTGTACATGATTTACATGAATGATCACACTTCTTACAATATAAACTTTTATTATCATCATAATATCCTAATCGACATAAACAATTTCTCCCAACTCTATCTCCTTTGCAATAAAGGCATACTGTTTCTGTTAAACAATCATCACATTCATGTTTACAAGATACACATTGTATACCATTATCATATTTACCATATGGACATGTACATTCAGGTGGATTTTATATTCTGTCTGGATTACATTGAATGCAATTATTAAAGGTTAATTTACAATTGTAACATTAATTTGCACATTTAATGCAGTCTTGATCAGGTGAGTCTTGTTAATATCCTATGTGACATCCACAAAAAGGTGGATTATAACGAGTTAGACTTGAACATAATTAGCATTAATCAGATTGAAATTGACATGAATGGCATTATATATCGCATGGTTTACAAATACCATTTTGATTAAATGTACCAGTAATACAATTGGATAAACAAGTATTTTAGTACAAATACTGACCTGATTGACAACTTGTGCAATCATTAGTACATAATTTACAAATATTATTAACAGGGTTGTATTATAATGGACATTGAGTAAAACATTAATTCTTGTGAATGTAATCATCACAATATTCACATTTAGTAGAAAGGAAATTATAAAAATATTTATATGGACAATATGGTAAACATCTGTTATCTGAAAGTAAATAAGTAGGTTCACAAAGTACACATTAATAAGGACCTACTCCAACACATTCTAAACATCCATCATAGCATGATTCACATATCTAATATTCTTGGTTTGCATAATAACGTTAACCACAATTTGTAACACAAGTATCTACTAGCAAAAAATATCCAAAGAAACATGAAGTACACTAATTTGATGAACATTCTTCACAATTTTCAGAACATAATGAACATTCATAAGAATTATATAGTCCCTTTGGACAATTTAATAAACATTAGTTGTAATATGAGTACCTAAATTCTGATTATACAACATTTCCACAATTTGTACAATCATATTCAGTTGGTCCATCACATGTTAAACAAGTCCAATGACAATCTATACATATATTTTAATATAGATATTGATTATATTGACAATTTTATACTTAATTAATACATACATTAGGATAAATGCATTCATAGCAATTAGAATCGCATTAAACACATTTTGAAGTATCTATATTTTAATAATATCCTAAAGGACATTAAATTACACATAACTGTTAATTTAAATGATAGAAATTCGGTTTGCAAACAGTGCAAGAAGGATAACTAGTGCATTCTTAACATGAATCATTACATTTTTAACATACACCTTTATGATTATACATTCCTACTGAACATTCACTTACACATGTTCCATATATTTATATAGCATTATTCAATATATAATTATCAGGACAAGCAATACATTAATTATCTTAATCTCCAACACATTTTAAACAAGAACTATGACAATAATTATAGAGACAGATTCTTAAATATAAATCAAAGGTATAATTTGATAGACATGAATCTTGACAATAGGTTTTATAAGTGCTTTCAATACTATCAAATATCAGAATATATTTTAAACCATTTTAACAAGTTAAACAAGATGTTTCATTGCCATCAGAACAAAACTAACAATTTTAATGACATGATAAACAGGATCCATTATCAAAATAAGTATTTTCAGGACATTCTTACATACAATTTTAATTATATAAAATATAAGGATTGTTGCATTTTGTACATTAAGTTTCATCATTACAAGTTATACAATTATTTGAGCATGCTAAACATAATAAACCAGATGTATAATATCCTTCACCACAACTAGCGTAAACTTAATTATTTTGTAAATATAGAGTTTATGAAGAATCTAATAATGGATAAGTACAAGATAAAGGATTTGTACAACTAGAACAACCTGCTTTGCATTTATAACATTTATTATCTATTTGAGAAATAAATTCATCTGTGTTACAATTATCAACGCATTCACCATTTTTTAATACTTATGGTTTTATACAAGATGTACAATAATTTTAATTAAGACATGTTAAACAATTAGAAGAACATAATCTACAGATTATTTATCCATCAATTAAATTAAAATAGTCTTGATAATAACCATTGTCACATATGTTTACGCATTTACCATATAAATTATCTTCTGATTTTTATAAATAGGCTGAATTGTAACAATGAGTACAATTATCTATTCTATTATTTGATGCACAATATTTACAACTCTTATGACAATTCAAACATCGATTTTCATATTGATAAGATCCTTCCCCGCATTAATCAACACAAGTGTTTACTTATATCAAATTTTAACAACTCAAACATTAATTTGATTAAGGACCAAAACAAGTGATACATTTTGAATCACATTAAACACATTAATCCTAATTAATGTCTAGGTAACTATTAGGATTCGACTAACAATATGATGCCACATTATCAATTATACTTATCGGTGTAATATTTTATGTACATTCAAATAAAAAATAGTTATAATTTGAAGGGCAGCTGGTGACACATTCATTATCTAGTAAAAAATAATTAATGACACCATTGTTGGTATAAATATTGTAACAATAAGAGCAATTATTAGCATTATCACAAATTTAACAGTTTTATTTACATTGAGTGCATTATTAATTATTAGTGTTTGCAAAATATCCATTTGGACATTTGGTGATACATTTAGAATTAAAATAAAAATATCCAGATTAACAACTAAGACAGGGTTATTATGCATTACATGTCCAACAATTTTTATCACATGGTATACATATATCTGATTATTGATAGGTTGTTTTTGGGCAATAAGCATCCAAACATTAATTTTAATAAAGGACATAATCAGGGTAACATGTTAAACATTGATTAATTAATTATCCAAAACATGATGAACACCCATGATAACATTTTAAACATGTTCTTTATATATAGTTATGCATATAACCATTATTACATTATTAGACACAATCTTTGGTTTATGGATGTAAATAATAATTATAAATACATTATGTGCAATTATTTTCATTTATACATGTTGCACAATTTTCTTTACAAGATTAACAAATATTTAATGTAGTCTAATATTATTGATTTAAGCATCCTGGTAAACATTCGTTATTATAGTATACTAATGTTGAAGAACATGATAAACAATTAGTTTATAATGGTCCATCACAAGTTAAACATGAAAAATGACATGTTTCACAAACTCCATCATATCCATAATAACCATTTGGACATATTTTTAAGCAATTACCTCCATTAAAATAAAAATTATTCAAACAGCGAAGACAAGATATCTTATTAATACAAATATCACAATTCTCCTAACATTTTAAACATTATCCTTAATCTTTATAATATTATGATGGACAATATGAATAACAACCATTATTTAATAATATATATTCTGGTTTACATGTTAAACAATTTTGACTGCCACTATCAAGACAAGTATCACATGTTCCATGACATTCTTTACATTGTCCATCTTTTAAAACAGTATTTTTTGGACAATCCATTAGACATATTGATTTATATAATTTTAGACCATATTTACAGAGTATACAATCATATTTTGTAGGACCATTACAAGTGTAACAATCAAAATCACATTCTCTACAATATTAATCTTCTACATAATAACCTATTTCACATTCAATTACACAACGTTTTTTAAATGCAGCATAATTAGATAAACATTTATAACAAAAGGTTTCATTCTCACAAATTTCACAACCTTCTATACATTATTTGCATCTATTATCTACTAAATCTCTGTAATATGTTAATGGGCATTATCCAACACAATTATTATTTTTAAAATACAAAGGGGCAGAACAAGAAATGCATTCATGATCATTTATACAACTTTTACACATTTTTTAACATGGTTAACATTTAGAATTAGTATCTTTGTAATAACCTTCTGGACAGTATTCTAAACATTAATTTTCAAAGAATAAATATCCATCTTAACAAATATGACAATATTCACCATAACAATATTGGCAATTATTTGGACATTATAAACATTATTAATCTAATTAATAATAATAATTTGGACATTCTGAATAACATTGATTATTTAATAAATATTATCCCACTATACAAGATGTACAAACATTTTCTTATAAACATTATTGACAATTAGAATTACATTTTAAACATTAGTTATTTTATATATAGTAATTTAATGGGCATTCCATAACACATTTATTTATAGAATTATTTTCTAATAAAAATTAACCATTATAGCATTCAACACAATTATCTGGTTAATTTAAACAATTATAACAATTTTAGTTGCAATTTAAACAACTTTTATTATCAATTGTATAATAACCTTAATGACATTATTAGAAATAGCATTAATTCTTATATAAAAGGTAATTTGGTGAACATTAATCACATATGCCATTAATATTGCATTCAATACAATTATTAATGTTGCAAAGTATACAATTAAAATCTCTAGTTTGATAGTATAAATTATCACACTATTAAACACAAATACCTCTTTGTAAATAATATCCATCTATGCATTTCATACAAAAGTTAGCATCGAAACAAAATTTACAATTCGTAATACATGGTGTACAAATTTTATTAAAATCAAAGTAAGTTTCCTTGCACGGACATAAGGGAGGACTCATTCTATTTAAAGAACAAGTTAGACATTAAATGGATTTTAAACTACAGGTTTAACATTAACTTGCACAAGAATAGCAAAGTATACCAACTTAAAATTCTGATGAATTGCATATATCTTTACAAGTAGGAGGTTAAAAAGCATTATTACAAGTTAAACATTCATTTTAATCATTAGAGCAAGTGAGACATTATGATGAACATTATTTACAAATAGATATTTATTATGAACCTTAGTAATCCACTTAAACAAAATATCCAATAACACATGATGAGCATTGATTCTATGATTAACATTTTAAACAATTCGAATCGAAATTATTACAAGTTTGACAAAAATTATTGCCAGGGGCTATGTAATATTATTAGCTGATGCAACTTAGACAACTTGTAGGACTAAAGCAATCTAAGCAAGGTTCAGTACATTTACTACAGTATTCATTTTCATTCAAATAGTAACCTTAATAACAAGTAGTGCATTTATTTTTTGAAATACAACTTACACAAGGAAATTCACATAATAAACAAGTCTAAGCATTCAAATAATAAAATTAAGGAGGATCTTAATAACAAGAAGTACATTGATATAATTATCCAGAACATTCAGAACAAGGACTTTAACATTTCTAACAATTATTGTCGACTATCATATATCCAGATGCGCAACTTAAGCAAGCACCTTAAGTATCACATGTAACACAAGGATATGAACATTATTCACATGAAGATTAAACAAGAAAAAAGTATGGGGATAAGCATGATGTACATTCTTAATAAGATGTACATGATGTGCATCCGTAATAACAACCTAATTTATATAAATTATTTACTATAACAATGTGTAGAATCTCCATAGTAAGAAGTAGGGCATTTATCACATAAGCCATTTGTACATGAACTACAAAAATCTTGGCATACTTAATTTCATTATATATTGTTACATTAACATCCTGTATCAGACCACACATAATCTTCTGGACATTAACAAGAGGCAAACCCTATCAGCAAAAGAATTAAAATATAATTCATAATTATTATAAATTTTTGATACTTTCATCATTTACTTCAATTTTGAATGATGTGAATTTCATATCAAATCCATCATCAATTTTTTCAGTTATTCTTAATTAATCTATATCTATATATAATAATAATTACTTTTTTATTGTTACAGAATTATTATAAACAATCATCAATCTTCTCTTCATCGCAATTTGTTAATCTACTCAAACTAGAAGCAACAATAAAACCTTTCCTTTATAATTCTTTAAAAGTAGCTTCTAAATTAGTATCTGTTAATAAAGCTTTTCTATCACAAGAATAAAGAATAAATTCATCAAGATCAATTTCTCCACTTCCATCACAGTCCATATTTTCAAATAAATCATTTATATCCTCTTCTATACCTAAAGCAGTTTAGAGTTCTTCCTTTGAAAGAGTTCCATTTCTGTTTTCATCATTCTTTTTAAATATTTTCTCCAATTACAATTATCTTTCCTTGAAAAAAATAGAATTCATAATAATAAGAATTTTCTATTAGATATAAGATGTCTTTTTAACTGATTTATTGATTATAGTTTCGGCATATCTAGCTTCTAATTTTTAGACTATTTCTCTATATTATTTATTCTTCAACACTTATTCATATATAATAAAACTTCTTGATTCAAGTAATAATACAACCAATTAATACCATTCAGTTTTTGTAGGTAGATCTCTTGGTTTTTTGATGATCATTTCAATTGTTTATGATGTAATTGATTTATTTGTTATCAACTAAAATAAAATAAGACCAACTGCTTGACGATCAGCTTTTTACATTTCATTTAATTTTGATTTTTCTTTAACTTAAAATATTGGAATAATATCTATCAATTTAATATAATGATTGTTTGTTTGATCATGCAATGTAAAACTTTATATAGTAAGACTCCCATGACAATTATTTTGTTTATGTATTTCCTCTAGTATGTCTAAAATCTATGATATTATATAGATCGCTTCCTCTTCTTTAATCTATCCACACAAATCTGATAGTAACCCTCCACTGCAATATTCCTATATTGCATAATAACTCTTAGAATCTTGGTATAACTCAATTATATTAGCAATATGAAGAGAACTCTATATATAAATAATTAAACTACAAAGCTTTGTTCTTATAGATTAGTAATCAGTATATCGAAATCTTAGTCTTATTCTGATGGTTTCAAAATATTTCTTGCCACTCTAACCATTCCAGTTACATTATGTTAAACAAGTCCCATATTATCATTGTCTTTTTTTCATATAAAATGCATTCATACTTCTATATCCATAATATGGATTAAGAACTGAGTAAAACTTAGCCAACGCTTCTCCATAAACCTTTCTTTTTATTTTCAAATTATTTATTGTCTTGCAAGAAACCAGTTTATCTTTTGATATACAATGAATTGAAGGCATTGTTTTATGGCGGGGAACGCTATCTTTACTTTTTACTTTCTCTTATATTGTTTATTCACTAACTATTTGAAGCTGTTTTTTTCTTAATGATTTTCTATCCTATGTTTGAGACTGGCAAACTCCCATAATTTTAATAAATAAGATTTAAATTTACAATAAGGCATAATAAAGTTAGTAATATCAATATATATAACCCATACTCTAATTAAATAATTGCCCTTAAAAAAGATTAAAAATTATCATCTCTATTTTAGAGCATTAATATTTCAATTATAATAATTGAATATATTTTTGATAAAGTTTATCTATTTTTTATCAACATCAACAAAGCCATTATTTTAATGATTCATATTATTGATTATTCAAACTTACATATGAATTAAAATTTGATGATAAAAATATAATAAGATTTCGTTTGTTTAAATTTGAAACGAGCTCAGCTTCCGGAATAGGAGCCTTGCCCGCAACCTATTAAATAGGTTTAAACTTGGATATGTTTTTAAATCTGAATCTTGAAGGATTAAGGATTTCTAGATATTTTTTTTTCTTTTTATATTAATTGATTAATTTTATTTTTATGGGTTTAAATTTCTTTTTAATTTTATTTTATAATATTGAGAGATATGATTTTTATTTATAGTTATGCAATAAATACCTGTTAATTTAGTAAAAATTAAAGTTTTTGTACTTCACTCTATGATTTTATAATTAACTAATTAATTCAAAGATTACAATTCTATATCATAAATACATTTTTAGAAGAATTGTAATAATAATAAAATATAAGTTTTATAATTAATCTTTTAACAATGTATAGCTAAATAAGTGACTATGAGTATCTTAGTACCATTTTGTAATAAAATAGTAGTTGCTTTAATATAAACAAAAGATTAACCCTTTATATAAGGCCTTAAAATCGAAATGAATAGAGAAGAAAAAAGCATTCATCTTGTAGTACAGAAGATCTACACCCTAAGATTTATGATTCATAAATAAAAAAAAAAGTTGACTTAAGTTCTTCTATTATAAGTGAATGTTAAGGAAATTAGAAAAATAAAATTCGAATAGCATTTAAACCAATAATTAGATTGAAAAATAAGTTTCTTAATGGAAACAATCCTAATGGTTATTCATTAGCAAATTATAAAGAAATAGTATGCAATTTTTGTCTATTGCATCTAGATAATTAATATTCCAAATTAGAGGAAAACTAATCATATTCCACAATAACTTTGGAATAGCATTAACCTATACATTCTCAAACTATTACAACATAATGTAAACATAAATTTCATTATGATTGTTTTCAAACTAATATAAAGCAATAGTTGAATCAATAAAAAGCAACAATTTCTTGCATTTGTGGGAAAAAAATAAATAATCAACTGTTAAAATAATATACCTCTGAAGTTTTAATAAGAAAACTGATGAAAAATTAACTTGAAACAATATATTAAAAATACTAAGAATCTCTTAATTTCAAATAATGTAATACTTGTACATTTTTTTGGGTAAAGTGTGATACTTAATTATATCTTCCAATTTGTATTTATTGTTTGCTATCCTACAATATTAATGATCAATCAAAATCTCAACATTAAACCTAATTTACTAAATACAAAAGATTGAGATCGATTAGCATGTAATGAATTTTTTATAAAATCATAAATTATAATGAATTCAAATTCTTGCTATAGAGGATCTATTTTGTTTTTTCATTTAATGATTTAAAGATTATCTAAAATAAACTCATCTTAGTTTTCTAACATATAGAAATATATTTATTTATATTTTAAGATTTATTTAAGTAAATTTAATGGACTCTAATCCAACTAACTTAAGACATTAAAAAAAACATATCACTTTGATTTTGCAAGAAAGTCAAAATCTATTAGAATTGTATTTCTGATTTTGAATTAATAGATCATAAAAATTAGTCTGTTCAAGTTAATCAGAGATAAATTCACAACCAGGTCCCAGATTGAACCCTAATTAAATTGAAAGTAAATCTGGTGATAGTGGAGATCTTTTTGAAAGTGGGAATTTATTACAAAGCAACTAAAATATTGGATAAAGTTCATATCTTTAAAAATTTACTTAAAGTGGTTCTCTTCTGAATTAGTATTGTCCACATAAATCTTTAACTTAAGAAATTGAAAACCTTTTATTTTAATAAATAAAGTCAACTTCTACTTGTAGATTCAAGGATATCTGCGAAGAATAGTGTTAGATGAAATTTAATCCTGCGTATTCTAATGTTTAAAAAATTTTGCTATATTAACTTCATGAAAATCAAATAGCTGAATTAAAAAATAAATTGATTAATGGAAAGAAAAAGAAAATCAAGATTTGTGATGGATAGGGATGCGAATTCTATTTTATTTTTAATGAAAAATTAAAATAAAACAATTATTACTGTCCTCTTTGCCTAGAATATTTTGAGTTAAAATTATGAATATTTAATAAATATCATATTTATTATATTATAGTAAAATCTGAACATATAAATTTATGTCTCTTTCATTAATTTTACAAAAAATTTTAATTTATTTTACTTTATTCTATTTCATTCTATTTGTTATTCAAATGCTTCCTCTTAAATTAAATAATGAAACTCAACTAGAAATGGAATAAATTAACAGAAACTTTTCATTAGAGAGTTTTCTGTAATTTTTTTATTAAGAATAATCTACAATTTAAAATTTATATATTAATACATATTAATACATAAATAAAAAAATAAAAATATTAATATTAATTAAATTTAATATAATAAAGCTGAATAAAATTGAAAAGATACCTTTTTGTTCGAAAACAAAAAGATTATCAAGAATTTAATTTTCAATTTTTTTTATTAATAATTTACCAATAAAAATTTATTACATTTATGTAATAAACTAAGTCTTCAAACATCTAATCAATATTAATTTTTAATTGATTACTAATAAAATCAATTTAATTTTTGAAATTATTCTAGATAAATATAATTATTTCTAGATTTTTTAATTAGATTTGAATATATATTTAAATAATTATTTCTAATTCTATTAAAACACTTAATAGAAGTTTGATTGATATTAAGATTAAATCTGATTGAAATACAATTATTATTTAAATCCAAACATGAATAACAAAAATATATTTCCTTCTTCAATGCAGTATAATTAATTTCCAAGATGAGATAACCAATATCAAATGAATTCACAATTACCGTGTCCTTTACAATTTCCAAAATAAGATTCAAAACGATTTGGCTAACCTCAAAAATCGGAGATCAATTTAAAATTGGATAAAATAAATCAAGAATAAGAATAGGAGGACTAAAAGAAGGAATAGATTCTATTGGAAATAATAGTTAAATTTTAAAGATTGATTGATCAATTTAATTAGAACAAGAAATAAAATATGTCTGTGGTTTTATTAGTAGGAGTAACAGGATCTGGAAAAAGTATTATTTTCAACTTCTAAAGCGGAGCAGATTTCATATTTAATCAGAGTAATCAATTGGAAATAAAGAATCACTCAAATAATTTTAGTAAAATGGGTGCTGGAATGAACTCGATCACAAAAGAACCTAATTTCTATCACAATTAAAAAAATAATCATTTAATTATAGATTTTCCTGGATTCTAAGACACAAAGGGAGAATAAGATCAATTATTATTTGAACTTTTATTTCATAAAATTGTTACTTCAGGCCCAATGAAAATTATATATGTAATAAAAAATCTTGAAGGCAATCTTTCAAATAGAGGATCAGATCTTTAAGAATTTATTAATCAACTAAGCAAAAAAGGGAATTTTAATATAGAAAAATTCAATTTATTATTAAATTGTTATAGGGAAGAGTTATCTGATGAAAAATTGAAAATCAAAATATAAGAAGATTTAAAATCTGTTAATTTATTATAATCAATTGATAAAATACTTATATTAAGAAAAGCTAAAAAAGATCATGAATTACAACAAATATTCAATGAATATTAACGATAAATTTTTTGGAAAAATATTGAATAAATGTAATCTATGAAAATTCAACCTTAGAAACTACCTAAAAGCTAAATTATAAGTGATTACTTAAGAAATAGAATATTAAAAACAATTGAAAAATATTGTGTTGCATTATCTTAATTTTTTGATAACACCCTTAAAATTTTATCTAAATAATAAGTAGAGGCAATAATGAAATAAATGGGAAAATTATTAGATTTAGTCAATAAAATAGATAAGGAATCATCTTTTGAATGGTATACCAATTATATTTAAACTTGTGAATAATTGGCCAAAGTTCTTTCAATCTAACATGATATAATAACGCGTAGCAATAATTTCATAAAGATATATAAATATTATTCCTAATTTTGTAATCTTATCTAGGGATATGAGGACCTAAAAATTTTATAGATAATCGCTAAAGATTAACTAAAGAATATGAATAATTATATAAGCATGAATTTAGAACTTTTAAAAACAAAACAAAATTTTGATTCTAGAATTACTTAACTTGAAGAAGATAAATAACAGCTTAAATCTAAAATGAGTGAATAGGATATAAAGATTAAAAATTATTAATTTTAAATTAATCACCTTGAAGCTTCAAACTCCTAAGTTAAAGATCTTTATATTTAATTAGAGAAAGAAAAAAAAATAAAGAGTTCTTTAAATGATTAAATAATAGAATTTTAAAATACAATCAATTCTATGAACGAAAATTTTTAAGAGACAATCAATAAATTGAGTAATTAAATCAGATTCTTATAAAATAGAGAACCTGAAGTCATAACGAAGTGGATTTGTTAGATATTTTGAGTTGTATTTATATCTTTATTATGATTACATTTATATAAATTTTCAAAACAAATTTATCTGATGACAATTGTTCTATTAATTGTTTTCCTTTTTTTTTCTTCATAAAACTAAAATAATTTTTCATCAACTATAATAAATAGAGAAATGAGATGCAAAATTAAAATTAAGGGTATTATAATAAAAGTTATAATGTTCAAAATGCATTTGATTATGTGCTTTAAATTTTAGATAAATAATCACATATAAATTGAATAGGGCTAAACAAAAAAGGTTTAAGANTAGAAACTACCTAAAAGCTAAATTATAAGTGATTACTTAAGAAATAGAATATTAAAAACAATTGAAAAATATTGTGTTGCATTATCTTAATTTTTTGATAACACCCTTAAAATTTTATCTAAATAATAAGTAGAGGCAATAATGAAATAAATGGGAAAATTATTAGATTTAGTCAATAAAATAGATAAGGAATCATCTTTTGAATGGTATACCAATTATATTTAAACTTGTGAATAATTGGCCAAAGTTCTTTCAATCTAACATGATATAATAACGCGTAGCAATAATTTCATAAAGATATATAAATATTATTCCTAATTTTGTAATCTTATCTAGGGATATGAGGACCTAAAAATTTTATAGATAATCGCTAAAGATTAACTAAAGAATATGAATAATTATATAAGCATGAATTTAGAACTTTTAAAAACAAAACAAAATTTTGATTCTAGAATTACTTAACTTGAAGAAGATAAATAACAGCTTAAATCTAAAATGAGTGAATAGGATATAAAGATTAAAAATTATTAATTTTAAATTAATCACCTTGAAGCTTCAAACTCCTAAGTTAAAGATCTTTATATTTAATTAGAGAAAGAAAAAAAAATAAAGAGTTCTTTAAATGATTAAATAATAGAATTTTAAAATACAATCAATTCTATGAACGAAAATTTTTAAGAGACAATCAATAAATTGAGTAATTAAATCAGATTCTTATAAAATAGAGAACCTGAAGTCATAACGAAGTGGATTTGTTAGATATTTTGAGTTGTATTTATATCTTTATTATGATTACATTTATATAAATTTTCAAAACAAATTTATCTGATGACAATTGTTCTATTAATTGTTTTCCTTTTTTTTTCTTCATAAAACTAAAATAATTTTTCATCAACTATAATAAATAGAGAAATGAGATGCAAAATTAAAATTAAGGGTATTATAATAAAAGTTATAATGTTCAAAATGCATTTGATTATGTGCTTTAAATTTTAGATAAATAATCACATATAAATTGAATAGGGCTAAACAAAAAAGGTTTAAGATGTTGAAAATTTCTTTATAAGATATAAATAAATTACATTCATTTTATTTTAATGATTAAATATAAAATCAATGATATGAAAATTAAAAATTTAATGAAGATAGTTATATCAAAAAGTCTTTCTTAATATAAATCATAATTGATATTATGTTTGTTGAACAAAATCTATTTTACCTATATTATATAAAAATTGAAAGAATTTAGAGTAGTCCAAAAAGCAATAATGCTTAATTAATATTCTAGCCTATCTTTTCTTAATTCTATTAAGGAATGAAATTTTTATAAAAAATAACTGATAATGAAGGAAACATACCCCGCAACCAACATAAAGATAATATTTATACAGGTATGATTATTTTTTTTATTCATTCTGTGTAAATAAAAGCATTTATTTCTAATGTTTTACAGGATTGAATAATTCATCGGTAAATTTTACAAACTCACTTATTTAATATGTTTGTATATATAATCATTTCCATAGAGATGCCTTTACTGCATTATAGATAAAATTTAATTATTTTAATATCAATTTATATTTGGAGAGATAAAAGTTTGTTTGTAAATATTCTATGTGATTTTGTTTTCTTTTATTTTGATTAACTTTTGAATTTAGAGAAATAAAAATCGTATAACTTAAGCGAAAGTGATTAATGAATTAGAGAATTATTTCATTTGAGAGATCAATAAAATAAAATAATTATATTAGAGAAGAAGATCTAAAATGATATATTTTATATAAAGTTCTTAAATATTTCAATATCTTGTTTAGTTGATGATTAATATTATATTGGCTCAAAATTAATTATAAATGGGAAATGATTTTTGCCTATCCAAAAGATCACCAAAACGGACAATTTTAAATGACGATGAGAGAGAATAAGTAAGAAGATTGTACAAGAAGCTAATTTCTAGACATGATGAGTAAGTTATTAATTTGATTATTGAACTTACAAGAATAATTTTTTGAATGAAGAATGTTTTCAATATCTCCTGAAAAATAGGCCAACCATTGCTTTGAAATTATACAAATACATGGTTTTTCATCATTCTAATGAAAAGCCATAATTTGAAGCTTTTGAAGATTTAGGTAAGAAATGAATGTAATTTTTCATAGTTGGCAAATTGACTAAACCAGAAACTTTAAATAGAATGACTAGAACAGAATAATATTCAATAATTTCAATATAAAAAATAAACATAGCTAAAATTGATTATGATTAGGAAAAAATCTCATACTTAGATGCATTTGATTTATTAAGTGAGATTGAATACTTTATTTGGGAATAGGGATATTTTGTTACCGATTATTTAGTTTAAGATGAATATACTACAAGATCTATCCTTAGCAGATTATTTACATCTTCTGCAGGATCTATTATGTTCTATGAACTAACAATATTTTTAGAACAAAACTTCCCTTGTTTATCAATATTATTAACAAAATATTTCAATTAGTTATTTATTTCATAAAGAAATTATAATCAATTGTCTAAATTCTAAAAACCTTCTTATTTAGTTAATAATTCTACTTTTGGGTATATGGCAATAAGTAGTTCTGTTATTTAAGAAGCAGATTCATTTGAATTATTATGGACAAGTGTAAGAGGATGGAATTTCGATTAACTCTATGCTGCTTTAATAGGATTTAAGGGAGCAACACTTATATTAATTAAATTTGATGATAGCACTGAAAATGATAGTGATGAAGAAGAAAATGCAAAAAAAAGAAAAATTAAAAGTAAGAATAATAAAAATTGTATTGTTGCTGCATTAAATTCAACTTAATGGATAGAAACTAATTCTTATTAAGGATCTAGTCAATCTATATTATTTTAATTATATCCCACTTATACTCCTTTTAATGTTGCAACAGATGTTTTTAAATCAAAAAGACCTGGCTCTTAAAATTACTGTTATTTAAATAAAACAGACAATAAGAAAGGTCTAGGATTTGGTGGAGATATGAAATAATTTAGATTATGGATCTCAGCTTAAAATATTTAATAGTCTAGTTATGCAGCAAAGTAAGGAGAACCATATATAAAAGGTATTTCATTTTAATAAATCTTAATTAGGTGATTTGATTGATCCATCAATTTAAACACCTACTATCACATATATTGAAGCTTGGGGAGTAGGCAATTAGAATTTTGAATGTGATAGTAGTAGTGAAGAAGAAATTAAATGTTACAGAGAATCTACAAATGATCTATTATTAAAATATCAATCATGATTTATATGTATATTATATTGAAAAATATATATTTAGAAAAAATTATTAAATTTTTATTAATTTTTAATATTTACTATATTAAAAGCGTTTGTATTTTAAGAAAATCCTTCTTATTCTCTATCTGAAAATTTAAAACTATTTACATAATTTTTTTTGGATTAAATTATACTAATAATTATATTTCATAGTAATCATTATTATAAATTAAACAAAGAATAATAACTAAAGAATAATAGATATTTATAAAAACTATAAATCTGGTCAAATATTTTATTTACATATTATTTGAATTATATTTGAGTTTTTTAGATCTAAATATTGTCTTAGCAATTAGTTTTTAAAAAAAAATATTGTATTTAAATATTTAGAACTAGATTAATAAGTAAAGAGTAAAAAGTTTACTAATAGAATTACTTAAAGTATATGCATCACTAAGCATAGAAATTGTTTATTTTAATTTTATTTAATGCAATACTATAATTTTTGATTCTGTATCCACACCTAATAAAAGTAAATAATTAGATATGAAATACAAGGTAATTTTTAATGATGATTACATTAAGAATAACTAAAAATAAATTCCATTAGAGACTTTAGCAAGAATAATTTATCTGATATATAATTAATATAGAAATCATTATAAATGAAAAAATCTCCTCCTCAAAAAGATCAAAAAAAAGAGAAAAGTCTCGAAAAAGCAGGTGAAAAATAAGAAAAACAAGAGAAGTTCGAAAAATAGCATAAAACTCTTTAGCCTTTAGATAAAGTAAGGATACCTAGGAATGTGAACTTTTATTTACATTTCTTATAGCATCCAGAAATAACTGAAAATGATATTGAATGGGTGTTATAATTGCGACATTGGGATGCTGTAAGTCTATGTAATATAATACAATTAGAATAAAATGAAAGAGCTTCTTAGTAAAATACCAAATCAACCATATTCGCTTGCTGACAAAAAAACAATATTTTCAGAGAAGAAGCATGATGTCTAGGATGTAAAAAACAAAGACAACATAGCTAGTTTTATGCACTTACTTACTCATCGTTTAGGATTAAGTGCATCTGGAAGTTTGGCAGATTTTGAAACTGGATTAAGAAGATATCAAGAAAATGATGACAATTTGAGTAAGAGAGAAAAGGGATGGTGGTATATAGCTAAGAAAGATAGACATGATTTTCCAGAATTCCCTAAATCTTTAAAAGAATAGACAGAACTTAAAAAGTCTTTTAGTACTGGGAAGTTTAATAAAATGAAATTTACATATTCTGGTTTTGAGGGGATGCAAGAACTGCCACCTTATACGATGAAATTTAAGCAGGGAAATTGTGGAAGTGTGAAACATTTATTTGGTCCAGATATTAGAATGTCATAAGGATAGTGGGAAGAAGGATTAAGGGATTCTTATAATAAAAGAATGCCATAATAAAATCGAAACAAAGAGGAGAGTAAAAATAAAAAGAAATTGGATCCAATTAAAAAATGATTCACATTTATTAATTTGTTATAAATAATAATAATAATAATAATAACAAACAAACAAACAAATCAAATTATTAACTTTCATCATTTTTTCTAAAATATAAATTCTCCAGCACTTTCAAGTAAAGTTTGAATTTTTATATGAAGTTATCTTTGCAAATTTATATCGTATTCTTTTTCTAATACTTAATTAATCTCCTCCATTAATTGAGTATTATGGTAATTTTTTTAATGTTCATATGAGAACTATTGCTTATGTATTGAACAGTATCTTATGGGTAATAAAAAGGCTTAACGAATATTCTAAGGTAAGTTTAAAATACTTGAGATATTAAT